AGTGTGAGTGTGTGTGTTTTGTTTGCGGCTGTGGATGTATGCACTCTCCTCCACTGTGAGTGTGTGTGTGTGTGTGGCTATTTGTGTTTGTGTGGGGCAAGTTTGTGTAAACAAGGCCCGAAGCAGAAGTTGCCTCCTGTTGTGCCTTGCGGCTTGTTCTTGTTCTTGTTCTTGCCTACCTCCGATACTTTCCGCTCCTCACTACATATCACTTTTCCGAAATTGTCAGCCGAATGCCCCCCATTTTCGCAGCTCCTTGGCCAGGCACTTGGAGATATATCCCTTCTACCATTTCCGATGGATCCTTGTTCACCAATTCACTCCTTGATGGTCTGCTACCCTTTTCGGAGTCTAAACTCTAGACATTTTTTATCGAGCTTTTTAGCGCACCCCAGTATTTCTCTCAGTGTTCGCCCTTTGACCTCGGGCAGGGCGGGAGAGCTACTTTAACATAAACACCAACTAGCGTCCAAATAACTTTTAAATGACGTTTGTTTGGGCGTGTGGCAGGGTGGCTGGGTGGCAGGGTTGCTTCGTGGGCGTGGTACACGCCTTTGCGTGTGAACTTTGCGGTTCGTTCTTTATCCCCTGCCTGCCCAACCGCCCTCACCCCACCCCACCGCCTTCGCTCGCAATTTATTTTAAACTTTATTTATGCGATAGAAAGCTGCAAATTTTTGTTTGCGTTTTAGCGACCCGCCAGCGAATTTATTCCTCGCCCAGAAACCCCACCTCAAGTTTTTATAAATACATACGAGTGTTTGTGGCTCTGTTTGGTGTTGGGCGGGTGGGGGCGTGGCGTGGTCCTTGTGGATGCTACCATTGTTAACTTTATGCCATTGTAATCTATTTTTAAGCATGTTATGTGTGTGTGAACTTGTGCAACGGAGGTTTTTGTTATTTTGTGCAAATTATGCGAGCTTAGCGCGTGAGCTGCTTACTCGCTGTTGTTAATTTTTATTTCGCATCTGTATCTGTATCTGTATCTGTATCTGTATCTGTATCAGTAGATGTATCTGTATCTGTATCCGTATCTGTATGTGTTTGCCCGACAAGCGGATTTGTCGCTACGCTGCCGCCAGCCAACCAAACTCCCACTCCTCCCAAACTCCCTACAAAGTAGTCTTTATGATGTAAGCAATCATAATTTCCTTCGACTCTTTAGCGCATTTGTCAATATTTTGGTCAGCTTTAAGGGATCAGGAAATAACAATGCAGGACCCGGGACGAGGGGCAAGGGGCAAGTGGTAGTGGAAAGGACACGGAGGACGAACTTCAATCAAGCCCATAACGGGTAACGTGAAACGTGCGCATAAAAACAAATGCCAGTCGAAAAGTATGCAACACTTTCTTGCGTCAGCGCAAAAAACAAATGGCGGCGGTAAAACGGAAGCTGCTTGGGGTGGTGTGTGAGTGGGAGTGGGAGTGCGAGTGAGGTGTGGGGCAGGGTAAGGGGGAGGACAGGACATGAGACAATTCAGACAATTCAGTGAATAAAGCTAACAACTTTGCCAACTGCCACTCCCGGATGTCTAGCGCGTGAATACCCTTCTTTGAAGGTTGATATATTAAGGTGGTTACTTCAAAAGCATTATTAAGAGTATTTCAAAGTCTATTCTTATATCTTATATAGGGGGATCTTATAGAGGGTGGGCTCTTTGTGGGGTAGATACAAAATACTTTAATCAAAGTTACAGCTGTTGAATTTTTAGGTTTTTCCCCAAGCACGTTGTTGGAAATCTCTGGAAGGACTAATTCCTTTAAACTCCTCCAAAAACCCCGTGTGTTTATTGAGTTTTTGTGATAACCGTTCCAGGATACAGCATGTGGGTGACAGTGTCGTGTATGGTAACTGAGACGGCGAAGAGAAATGTAAACTGGGGAATTCGTGACCTAGGCACTACATGTCCTCCCAGGCATCCAACAGAACGCCAGTGTCATGGCAGAACGACACTGAAAGAAAGGGGTATATCCCCATCCCTGCTCATCCGCCACCTCATCCTTTTCTCGCTGTGCTCTGCTCCCCTCCGGATCGCTAACAGTTCGCTGTTCCTGCTTAGCAGTCGCTAGCTGGAACGTTTGTCTGTTGTAATTCACGAAATTGACTGCAATCGATATAAACATCAACTCCCAATTCGTTGTGTCCGCCGTCCCTGTCTTCGGGCCTCCACTGGCGCTCCCTCCAGCTCCCTGCTGTTGGCAGCTTTGCCAATAATCCGGTTCACGTTCTGTTGCTCCGCCGGCGATAGAGCCGAGGAGCGGGAGGAGGACGCGCCAAGTGCTTGAAGTACTTTAAGGAAAACAAAAATTGTTTACCTGGTTTCATTTTATTCTCGTTTTAGTGCCGGCGAAACTGACATTGATGATGATTATTGGGAGTAAATAGAATTGAAAATGCCACCAGTAGTTTAGCTTATCCTGCCTGCAGACTCCTCCTGCCTGGCTGCCTGGCTGCCTCACTGCCTGGTTGTTTGGCTGTTTTTAAGGCCCAGGACACGTGTGAGTATCAACATCTATCTATCCTGCCGAGCGCCAGCCACTCGCTTTTTTGCCCGCGTTCGCATAATGCGCGAAAATAAATTGCAAAATCAATTGAGCGGTAAAATAGTTTTTCCCTATAGACGCTGCCAACAACAATGGGAACAAATCGAGAGTCAATGCCGTCGCTGGCTGCGAGATTGAGGTACTCGACTTCGCCGACTTTGTCATCCGAGCCGCGACCTCTGAACTCTGGCCGCCGCGGGCGCGTCTAAGTGGGCGTGAAGGGAAACATCACTGCGTCATCATAGGAATTTGATTATAAGAAATGGAACTCCTGGATCTACCAGTGGTAGGTGGGTTTCCCCGAAACTTTAATCGCTTCTTGGTTGAAGGGATTTCGGTTACTAGTAGTCTGCACTTGCCACTCTCTAGCGGAGCAGAGTCCATTAATCTGAGAAACTTGTTGCATAATTTAAGGAGTCTTTAAGCCGCCACTCGGTCGCATTACGCATACGCCGCATTATGCTGCGGCTGCGACTGTGGATTCATTAAATGTTATAAACTCATTACGCGTTTTGTCTGCTCAAATGGGTATCGGCATCTGGAGAGGGGCCTGTCTCTGTGTCTGTCTCTGTCTCTGTCGAAGGAGTGTATGTCGGTTTGCTGTAATAACCACAAAACATCTGCGAGGGCCGCACACACACACTTTCCCCCAACCAGTCCACCCCCCACCCAGCCCCACAAGTGAAAATCTTTGTGCGGAATTAATTAAGTAAACAATACGAAAATTGTGGAAATTGCTTTGAATGCGTCCCCAAGCACAGGCACAGGCTCCCCAGACTATAGGCCAGATAGGATACATATCCTTGGATACACCCACACACTCCCGCACAAAAATGCACATGTACGCGGCAGAGTTACTTGTGTATTCAAAAGTTATTGCCAGCAGCTGGTGTTGCTTTTGTTGTTACACATTATTATTATGATGCTGCCTAATGGGGCGGGGGAGGACGATTGGGCGGCCTCCCAGGCACCTTCTTTCGGATCCCATTGTCTGCGGCAACAATTAAGCCGCACTCTGCCTTAATGATAGGGACACATGAACGAAATGGCCGAAACAAAGGCCCAGGCCCGCCGGAAAGGAGTTGCCCCAAAAAGAATTGGTTTGCAGAAGGAACTTGAAAGTCATTGCCTCCCCAACCCCACCGTCAACTCCACCACCCAACTAGGCCGTCTTCAGAACTAGGCCTAGTTTTCGGCGAATCTTCGAGCTCTGCCGCTAGTTTCTTGAGGCCAGGTGGATGGGGTCGGTAAAAAATAGATATGCAAATTAATTGGACGGCCCACAGCGACTCTCGAAGAACAAAGCCCGGCTTGTGCTTCTTCCACTCGAGTACATTGTCTCCAGTCTTCTTTTCGCCAGAAACAAACAAACAATGAAGCGGAGTCTTCGGAATTCGTTTGGCACTTTACTTACGCATCATTAGTGCTCCCTCTTTATTATCTTTGTGGCTCTCCGATTCTCTGATTTTTTATCACGTTGGTTAGAAAGCTCGATTAAGAAAACGAAGAAAAGAGCCGGGGCCGGAGCCGGCGGCAGGGGCAGAGGCAGAGGCAGAGGCGGGAATATTTTATAGTTTATCTCTTGTAACTGAACATATTTTATGAGAGGGGAAAACAGCCGTTTTGGGTCAAAGTTTGTAAGTTTCCTGCCATTTTGGTGACTTGGAGATACACTGGGAAAAAATTGTTAGACTCTTACAAGTATTTAGAAGCTGTTTATGTTTATGGTATTCAAGGGCTATGTGACTGCCTTCTCTGTTTACTCGTCTAATGTGGCTTCGGCGTAAAACTGGATCTAGTTTATAGTCTTGGAGCGGCCCCCCCTTTTTTACAAGCGTAGCCCTCCGAAATTTACGACTGCACTAAAAATCGAACCGATTCCATCCGAGCCGGGGCCCTGAATGCGCCGCCTTGTGCTCTCTGGTTTTATTATTGATTTCTGTGTTTCGGTTTGCTCAGCTGCCAGCCTCCGCCACTCCGGCTGAGCCATAAAACGGGCTACTGTTTTGGCTGTTTGGCTTCATGTCAAGATCGCTGTTGTGGGGTTTGTGGGGGAACCGCCAAAGAGGTTCGAAGCCGAAATACCAAAGCGGCGAGCGGGGCCGAAAGAAATCGAAATCGAAGTCAAAGTCGAAGAGTCGCAAGACGTTGAGCTTTTGTACTTTCACTTGTGCAAACACGCGGCGGCCAAGAACGCCGGAGATGCAGAGATGCTGGGACGGAGAGCAGGGTCATCAGCATCCAATGCACTGAAGAAAATGCCCAGACCTTAAGGGGTCTCCAATCCCCGATATGCGAACATGTTGCCCCAAAGCTGAGGGCCCTCTAGAGCACTTTCTTTCTAGTTTTTACCATTCTTTTTCTTAGCCTCTTACTCTTTAGAGAAAAGTTCTCTCAGTGTATGTCCGCAGCACGATCATCAGCTGGCTGATGATCCGGGTCGGATGGGGTTACAAACCACTCGAATTCGAATTCTTCAGTAGCCAGCAACGGGGCAAGCCAAGCGGTCTTCTCTCTTCTTTTCTGACAGCTCCGGTTCTTCCATTTCAACTTCCACTTCCATCGTCTTTTCGCTGGAATCTCGATTATTTGACGGACAAGTCTCTGCGACCCGGGCATGCCCGGTCACGTGTCCCTGCTCCTGGGCGGCCTCCTCCTCCTGCAGCTGGGGCATGCCCCCAGCAGTGTCCAGGCCCTCCACCGCTGGAGCCCCATGATGAAGGCCTTCCGCTACCTCCAGGAGTCGATGCTGCGGAACAGTCTGGAGAGGTCTCACCTGAATCACGGAATCGTCTTCGAGTGCCGAACCATGTAAGTGACTGAAAGAGTGTCTCACGGAGGACTACAACGACTATGACTCTTTCAGCTCCACACGGGACTTTGGCAACGAGGTTCACTTCCACCTGCAGCTCGGCGACCTAAGGGGCTTCCGTCGCCTGGATCCCAACAAGAAGCTGGCCTTGTTCCTGCACGGCTGGAACGATCAGGGCAGCAAGGACTGGGTGCAGGAGCTGTTGCTGAGTAAGATTGGACCCTCGGAGTAGAAGCGCCCTCTCATTCCGCTTTCCTCCACAGCATGGACCCTGTTCGACCCGAACTACAACGTCTGCGTAGTCGACTGGGGCAACCTCTCCCAGAACGACTACAAGAGCGCCTCCATGTCCATCTTCGACGTGGGCCTGACGGTGGCCGGGATCATCATGGCCCTGGAGGAGCTGCGTCCCGCCCACTTCAATAGAAGCAACGTAACCCTGGCAGGCTACAGCCTGGGCGCCCACGCCGCAGGATACGCAGGAGCCGTGCTGGAGGGAAAGGTGGAGCAGATCATCGGCCTCGATCCGGCCGGACCCCTCTTCTCTCTCCCTGCCGAGGTGTCGCCCAAGTACCGGCTGGATCCCGGGGACGCCCAGTTCGTCCAGGTCCTGCACACCTCGGGTGGGTCCCTGGGGACAAGCCTGAAGTGCGGGCACGCTGACTTCTATCCGAACGGAGGCCGCGCCCCGCAGACCAACTGCAAGATGTTCGCCAACCTCCGGGACATGCAGAACACAAGTGGGTGTGAAGTGCTCCAAAAAATGACTGTAACTAACATTGAATCCTCCGTAGATCCCATCGCCTGCAGCCACTCGGCGGCGGCCATCTTCTTCCGGCAGTCCATGGACCCGGAGTACCCGTTCGTGGGCCAGGAGTGCGCCAGCTACCGGCAGTTCTCCGCCGGATACTGCGACGGGAACCGGCGAGCCCGCTTCGGCATCCACTCGCAGAGGCGGGCGCAGGGGAGCTTCTACTTCAGGACCGCCCCCCAGCAGCCGTACGTCCAGCGGCGCCAAGGACTTTGGCTCGACGGGGTGGCCAGGAAGGCTGGCGGCGGTAGGAGGGGAGACTCCATTCTGCGCCTTTGGACGAGAAGCTGGCGGCGTCGGGCGAGGGACAAGGATCGCTGCCTGTAGTCGCATCTATTTTTTTTTTGTTAGTGTTATCTAGACAGTTAAGTAGACCATTTTCCACTTCCTTCAAAGGACTTTCAGTAATATTTGTACACCTGCCATGAGAAATATTCCCGGGCCCGTTCCTGAACTTCTGCCAGACTTTCTATTAGTTCTATTAATTTATTTTTATTAGGCGGTCTGCCAACCAAATAAACTGTAGCTTGCAGCGCCGAAAAGTGTGTGGAGTTTGCTTGAATTTTATTGCATACATTTAGGAGCCCCATACTCGTAGGGCTCCCCCATGTGAGCATGAAAGGCCGCTATCCTGCTCCGAGGAGAACATGGAAAGTGGGCGGAAAAGGCAGCCTGCAGTTAACAGTTAATCGTAAAAGAAAACGCGAGAAAAACGAACCAGCAGACGCGGAACAGAAAACAATAAACTGAAATTCAATTTTTCCATTGTAAAACATAATTTTCTACAAAACTTGACGTCAGCTTGGCCCGCTTTTTGCTAAAAGGTAGTTAATATTTTTGCAGTCCATTGCGGCGAGTCCCCTACCCCTGTCCTTGTCCCTGCCTCCGCTATGGTCCTTCTTTAGAGCTCCCTGCCCACTCCCACTCCCACTCCCTGCCCCACGCGATGCACACTACACTTGAGTTGTTCTTGTTGGTCCTTGTTTTTGGTGTAGTTGTTGTTGCTCCGCCTGCTGCTTCCTGTTTTGTAGCTGTTTTTGAAATTTATGGCGCCGTCGCCATCGTAGCCGTCGCCGTTCCCCCCGCCCGGAGTCCTGTGCCCCCCTCAGCCCCCTCTCATGAGTTATGCGCTTTTTATTTCAGCTCCTGGCCACGTTAAGTGTTAAATTGTTTTATGTATGCATGTGTGAGGGGGTGCGGGTGCGGGGGAAGGACTCCTGGACTTTGGCCGTTTAATTATGAAAGTTGACTTCCAGAAGGAGCGCCAGGCCAGGTCGGGGGTCTCGAATCCTCAACACGGGGGGGAAGGCCATAAGTGGTTGGGTGGAGGAACCAATCTAAACAAACTCCGTATTGGCCATCTCCTTCTCAGGCCAATATTCGAGGCAGTTCCTCGCGGAGGATGGCATTTAAAATCTTAAATGCCCGCTCTTATTCGATTGACTCGCTGCACGCTTTCCCCACAGAGTTGGCGGATGGGGGGCGCTGAAATGGCAAGCGTTAATGCGAAAATCATTCTCTGGCACACCCCCACACACGGGAAAAAGGTCATGGGGTGAAAAGTTCTGTAAAATCCAAAGCAAATTAACGCTTCAAACACCAAAAAAAGTGTTAGTTACCTCTGGCTCTAGCTCCTCTGGCGCCCAACGCTGCTTTTTTTACGGCACCTGACGTCCTGGCTGATCCTGGCGCAAAGTTAAGTGTTTCTTTAGCTAAATAACGGAAACATTTTAGTTTCTGCCGGCAAAGGGGGGAGGGGAAGAGGGCCAGTAGAGTCCTGGAGCGATAGACGCTTACACATAAACACATTCAAATGCTTCCGGTAATGTGTAATAGCTGCACAAGGACGAAGGACTGGAGTCCGGCAGAGTCCGGCTGGCAAAACAGAGTTAGAGAGTGGGTGGGACGGGAGGACGGGACGGGAGTGGCTACCCTCCGGGCGGTGGAGAAAGGAATGCCCTCGAGTGGCTATAAATAACTCGCAGCAGGTGCCGTTCAGGTAAACGTCCATGCTGCAACCTGCAACGTGCAACGTGCTACCTACAAGTGCCATCCTGCGCCTCCCACAATGTCCAGCATGATAGTCTGGACAACAAGAAATACTCCGGCTCAGGGCCCGGAGGTTCAAGCCAAATGTAAATTCCAGATTAAAAACAAAGGCCAAGACACCCCGAGAGCAGTCTTTTCTTCCAGTGTATGCCAGGAACAGGAGCAGCAGCTCGGGGCTACGTTTTCTTATGATTACACGGCGTATGGCCCGCTCATTGTTCTGGTCCTTCGCATAAGTGCAAATGAGCTTGAAGGATGAAATATTAAGAGTCGTCTTGGACTCTGGTTTTTTCGCTCCTCCACTTTTCCACTCCTCGGGGCTTCTCTGTTGCCTTCTCTGAGGCTTCTCCCTCCCGCTCTCCCCATGTAGGTCCACCACTCATTTGGCCAAATGCAATTTTCGCTAAGAGCGAATATCCTCCGAAACAGACAGACAGCGAAAAGGAAGCCGGCCAGGGAGTTGGGCAAGTCAGCAAGTCTGCCAGCTTAACAGGCACTTGAAAAAATATTTAGAGTCCACCATCCTCCAGCCAATTAATTGAGTATATTAGGCAGTAATTGTCAAAGCGAGCATGATAGTCCTTCGTCTCATAACCTGGTGCTTCCCACAAGGATGTGCATATTTCCTAATGAAGTGGAAATTAAATTGCCGGTGTAGTTGGCGGCGACCCCCGTGCATACTCTTTGTGTTTTCCGGGCATTCTCCGGCTCCCCATCGGTAGCATTTTCGAGAGCAACCCTTTTTTATTTGTGCATGTGGCATGCTGAAACATTGCAACGTGGTCGCGGCGCTTGACAAAAGTTGCGGAGCCTCCAGTGGGGCCAGGGGGCAGTGGTCCAGTGAAGAGGCCTGCAACTGCAGCAGGACTTTCGGGTGAAGGCTAGGAAATCGCAGTACAGTTCTTAATAATATTTAATAGTTCCGCAAAGTGTACTGTTACGACCTCTGGAAGAACCATCTCGAAAGTGTGTAAGCTGCTGACCACAGGCCACCTGAGCTGACCCTCCAAGAGCCCCGTCCTTGCGCTCTCCGGCACTCGAGGTGATTAAATTTCCGCGAGCAGCTGAACAGACTCCCTCCCGCACTGTCCTCCGTGGCGCCTCTTTTTTACAAATGGCGAGCAATAAACTAAACGCAGAAGATTACGACTGGGACCCAGCGGAAATGATTCTCAGAGAGCTTGGACTGGAGCCTCGGATCAGGCCACACGCCTCCCGACAGCGGAGGAGGCGTACCCCAGGCCGGGAATTGTAAGTGCAGTTTTATGAGAGCATTTAGCTGATTTGCACAGGGCGGGGGCTGCAAATATTCGGGGCCTTCCAAAGGACACACTTCAGAGGCACAACTTGTTTCCTCCACAAATTAATATTCATAAAGTTTCGCATTTCAATCGGGAACTATCGAAGACACTTGATCCGACACGCAGCCATCTCCAGGAGTATCCTTTTGCGCTCCCGGTTCCGCGCCCTTCCTCTGCATTGTCCTGTTAGTTGATATGGTTTTCCGCCCGGCGCTAAAGATGCTTTTAGCCAAACGGCAGCAAGGCCAGCAGCAAGGACCTCGCAAAAACGCTGCTACAACTTAAGCTTAGCAGTGACAGTGACGGGGATGGGGATGGGGAAGGAGCCGAGGAAGGGGAGGGGGCTCCACGGCAGGAAGAAAGGGAAAGGATAAGCACGAAAACGGAGACAATGCGGAAAATTGTAAGACACTAAAATTGGCTAAAAGGAATCAGTGGCCAACAGGCGAGTATGTTGATGTCCCCCGTCCTTTCCTTTCTGACTGTATCCTCTATCCAGGACTACAGGACTACAGGACTACAGGACTTGTGCCTGGCGTTTGAGGAAAGGAACTCATAAAAGTGAGCAACAAATTTCATTGTTTATGGCTCAGCTTCGACTACATGTGTGCTCTTATGCAATTTGCTCCGCCATAATGGGGGACCATTTTGCGTGTGCTTGTGTTTGCGCCTGTAGTGGTGTAGTTCGTCCTTCCCCCGGAACACCGCCCATGGCACTTACCCCTTCAGCCCGGGCCCTCGGCGCATAAATAAAAATTAGTTTCGTTCTCATCCCAAACCCACCAAACAGGCCTACCAGAAACCAAGACACTGGCCCAAAGAAGATCTGCAAGGACTTTAAAGAGTCCCGCGATCCTGATAGTGAAGGCCGAGGAGGAGTGACACCCCAGTTGGATTAGCAAACTCATCCGGAGGTCGAAGTACGGGTCTAGATAGTTTTTACTTGATTTTACGCCAGTTGCCATAAATTGTAATGGAATTCGGGTTAGCCACTTCCTCTCCCCGAACGGTACCCAGGGCGTCCTTTGTTCGATTTATTTTTTATTAATATTTTGCAGGGGCGGGGCGGGGAGCATAAGCTAGCAAGGCGTGAAATTAAATTCGACTTGCCTCGACGCCATTCCGGGCGAGTATATGGAGATTTTAGATGTCCCCTTTCGGCGGCGGGAAATGTATGGCGGAACGAACGTTTTTATCCATGCCATGGATTTTTACTGGGCAATAAAATTATACTTTCATTGGCCGGCAGTGGCAGTGGCAGTAGCAGGGGCATGGCAGTCCCTTTCGTGCTTCGCCACCAAAGGGAAGCCACCGCACAAGCGACTGTTGCCCCTCCGAGGACTCAGCAGCGACTAAAGTCGAGCGAAAGGTCCTTGCTGGTGGACCTCACCATGGTGTGGTGGAGTCGGACGGCTGTGGTGGAATCGGCTCGGGAAAAGGACCAACAGGTGTCCACTGGAAGGACTGGAAGGCCCAACGAAAGTGTCTCAGGAACGAGGCAACGCAGACTCGAGGTATTTTGAGTTTATTTCCCAATTAGACCTGGCAGGACTTGGGAATTTTCATTCATAACAAATAACTCGATGAAATATTTACTGTATTTACTGATTTACCTGCACAGAGCTATTCCAAGAGCATCCGACTTGTAGAATTTCGGCCAACAAAACTGTATTTATCGAATAAATGCACACAGCATCCTCCTGCAATCGGAAGGAAGGAAGAGCCTTTTTTTTTTGCTCGACAATCAAATCGAAATCTAATGAAAAGTGTGCAACAAAAAGGGCCTGGCCTGGCCTGGATGGCCTGCTTGCTGCTTTTATTCTCGAATTTGGCACACATTTTGCTCTGTTGTTGAAAATTAATATATTTTAAATATTCAGAAATGCCCTGCTGGCGCTGGGAGGGGCAGTTGGTAGGTGGCGGGTGGCAGGTGGCGGGTGGCAGGTGAGCACAATGAAATGAAAAAGGCCTTCAAAATACTTTAACAAATACCGAAAACCGACATTTCACCAACTGCATATTATGCTATGCATATTTCATTTATGGCCAAAATAAATACATAAATACATATGTAAAGTGCAGACTGCAGACCAGCAAAAAGTGCGACCGTGGGCTGGGATCCATTTCCCGCCAGTAGTCCTCAGTTGATGACCCCCCGAGACTAGACTCCGAAACTAGTCTCCCTGCAGTGCCTTTGGGTACTGGCCTCCGGTAATCACCTCGTAATGAGAACCATTATTGGATGCAAAGTGCGGATGTGTTCCACGGTTCCTGTAAATATTGGCTGCTAAGCTGGGCGCCCGGCTCCCCGACCAGCCGGAGGGGCGGAGTTCATTGCATCTACATCTGTCGGCATTTTTGCATTTAATGCCATAAAAGTTTATCTGGCAATGTGTCGTCGGGCAGTCGGGCGGGAGGGGTGGCCACTTTTATTTTCAGTATTTTAATTAAATAAAAATTTATTTGTTTGTGCAGACGGAGCAGGGAGGGGCGCGGGCGGGCCGGAGTGGCGAATCAACGGGCTTAATTGAGACCATTTTGTGAAAATTTGGGCCTCGTTTACATTTCTCCGAGCCGGCTCGACTCAGCTCGAATCCACACTTTACTTAATTAATCACACAGAAATATGGCCAGAACGGGGAACCAACTCCGGATTGATCCGCAATTTATGGATGGTTTTGGGCAACCGACGATGGATTCCAGAGCTTCTGGTATGGCATGGGGGTGTATCCGACTCTAAAGTCAGGGGCAGTTGCTCCCAAGAATCGACTAGCACCCGTCCCAATGGGTATCCGAGAGTTCCTAACTCTCTTCATTGGATCTGGCGCGGCTTATGCGGGTTTGGCTGGTCTTTTTCCGATTCGGTTCCGGTTTTTTAAATGTCGGTGCCGAACCTACCATACATTGCATCCGGAGTGAAAATGTGAGTGTCTTTTTTTTCATTTTCTGGCGTTGTTTGTTTATTTATTTATATCTCGCTCGTTGTTGACTTTTGGTTTCGTTTTACTGTTGCTGTTGGTGTTGCTGCCACTGCTGTTTTTTGTTGCTAGTGGCGTGATAAACATATCAAGAAAATGTTTAGTTTTTATCCAACTTTTCGAAACATATAGCTTTGTTTCTCCGCTTGCCTATTTTTGCACTGCCATGAAAGTAATGGCAATTAAAGCCGGTGATTGTGGCTGTTTTTGATGGGGTCGTAAGTGCTGCTCTTTTTTTTACTTTTTTTTATCATATACCCTCTCCTCCCCCCTCCGGGCAAAAGCGCATCAATTAGCGTGGCTATTACATAAAAATGTCGGTTTTTTCAATCCATTTGGTATTGGGGTTTCAGATTGTTTGGGAGAACCGTGAAGCCAGAACCCTGATCCTAAGTGCCGAGTACCTAAAAACGCCGAGTCTTACGAGCCAATTACACCACATTACACATGTCTGGCCCAAGGTCTGAGCTACCGAGCTGAGGTACTTCAGTGTCCATTACTCCGGCGGTTATGCAACGCCAAGGGGCAGCTCCGAGCCGCCTCGGCCGAGCTCTTAACGTGGCTTTTGCAGCTTGTGCCGTTCGGCGGTTACAACAAAACTTACTTTACAGCTTCGCCGTCGCCGTCGCGGTCGCAGTCGGCGTCTCAGCTCCAGCCGGCGACTGCACTTCTCGAAACCCGGCTTGCTACAGTGGAGCCCATACGAGTTTGAATAATATTTGTTGGTCTCTGCTACTTTTTATATTTCTTCCACTGTACTGAGTTCAGGCCCAATACGCTTGGTCGCTTGCCCGCTGTCTCCGCCGCTGCCTCTGCCGCTGCCTCAGCCTCAGCCGCAGTCGCAGTCGCAGTCAGTTTTTGAGGCTGCACAAAGTTTAAACAATTTGGCGTTTAGTTCTCCTCCGCGTGCGCCAAAACCAAGTGGGCTAAAAAGTTGTCCAACTTCGACTGCAGATCGTGATTCCGAATTCCAGATATCGAAAGTGAGTCTTATTTTGTTGTGTGTTTCAAGTGCCCAGCGAGTGTTCCATAACAGTGCGTCCTATTGGGCCACACTAGCCATACAGTGACGACTGGCCCCTGCTTGACCCCTGTGCCCCTACCAGTGCGTTGAGGAAATATTTTAACGAGTGTACCGTGGAAGTTGGCAATTTCGGTTTCCATCCGGCAGAGCAACATGTGTGGCATGCTACTGGCTTGCATACTAAACCCCACATGCAAGCCCGATAATCGGTTCTCATTAACTATGCATTTTCAATAAGAGCCACTCAATAAACTGGAGTCGGAGCTCGTTAGCCGGATCGCCTTGCTCCAGATTCGGGGTTCGACGGGTCGGGAGATATATCGGCGGCGATAAGGCCAACACGGCCATCGAAATCTTCGGCGACCTTGAAACGCACCATAAAGATAAACAGACAAATTCCGCACCGAGAGATCAAAAGGCGAATTGCTTTTCGAAAGGCTTTGTTTGGATTTCTTGTTCGCGACTCGCGACTGGCAGCGACGGCGGCGCATGCGCAGCGGCGTGTAAACACTTTTGACCCAATTGTCGGGCTCCGCTGGCCACGCCCCTCGCGTCAGCCCCCCGCGGCTGTGAAGCGAGTGCAGTTGGTTATTCAACGCGGCGTGTGCAGTCGGATGGGAGTTGGGAAACTCCGGGGGCCGGCAGGTGGGCAGGCAGGTGGGGAGGTGGGCCGGTGCATTGCAGCCAAACAAACGTCAGCAGAGACATTAAGAAACCCTGTTTACGTGCAATATTTTGGAACGAAAACGTTCGTGAATCATCGTTCGCGCTTTCCAATTACCCCAAATTCCCCCAATACTTTGGCCCACAACCCGAAAAACACGAACGCTGCCGGCCTTCGCTCATCAATTAACAATTGTCACCTGTCAGTGTCGGCGCATCGGTCTTACCTGTGACCCCCAGGGCCCCACCACTCCCCGCTCCCCGATCCCCAATTGACCACAAAAATATTGGGCCCAAAAGAAACAGAAAAAACCGGCGGAGTTTTGGTAAGAGCCGCCTTTAAAAAACGGCCAACAACGTCGTTTGTTTTAGCCTCCGTTTTTGTTGTTTTATGCATGAAAGTCAAGGTCGGCCTTTGATAGTTGTGGCATGATTAGCATTTGATATTTTGTTTTCAATTTTTGCTTTGAGGGTTCGTTTATATTGTGTTTTTTTCCCGCGAGCGCATTTTACGATTATTATATGCGTAGATGGAGGTGCCAATTGGTTGGCCAAGACGCGACTACCTGCGAGGCAGGGCCTCCCCACTCCCCCCAAAAAGAGGTACGATCCGGTATACCGTATTCATTGTCCTTGTGTCCCTGCTGGGAACCTAGACAGCTGCTGGCAGGACACAATCAGATGTGTTTGTACTGCATTGGAAAGCTGGGAGCTATCAGGGTTCGGGGGGAGGCTGGGATTAAAAATTATACGGAAAGTTCATATTTTTGCGGGAATAGCTTAGAGTGGAGCAGAGCCCACCCACCACAGCACCCATTCCACCCATTCCTCATATCAATATGTTTGCTTTATTTATTGACTCGCCTTCGGTTGTGCGATATCCTCGCGGCAGGATGCCGGCTTCTGACAGTTGGCACGTAGCGGGCCAGGACGACGGGGCGTATTCGTATTATAAGTTATGAGCTAGCCCCGGCGATCACGTACACGCCCCAATGGCTGACTGAGTGTGGGCTGGCAAGGCAGCTACCCCTCCCCCTTCCCCTCTTGCTCCACCTCTCCTGGTGAAGGTCCTGCATATAATAATGTTAATGCCAAACAATTAAGTAGTCCAGAGTCCTCTCCATTTCGGATTTAATTACAATTGCAAGCAATTCCTGCTTCGGTGGAAACCAAACACCATGTGTTTTCCTCTTTTTAGCCATCCACTGGGCAGGGGTCAAGGGTTGACCGCGGGGCGGTCAGCTCCACGCGCTGAGAAAAGCAATTTTCCGGTTGAGTTTACAAATGGCGGGCGCGGCCAGTGCTGACAATAAATGATATATCACTAAGTCTGGTCACCTTTATGCGATGCCCCAAGTAAACACACTCTGTGCCACATTTAAGTGCACGGGGACGGGGCGGGGGAGGGGGGCTGGCTTGTGTGCGGGCTTGCTTAGCTTGTGTGGGGTTGTGTGTGTGTTCCAGAGTGTCCTGCGCCCCTCTCGGAATGTGTGCTCGCCCCTATTAAGCTGTGATTGTATTAAATGTTTATTGTCGGAGCTCTGATTCCTGGCGGATTAAATTAGCTGGCACAGGACTCGGGCGAAACCATTAAGCATTCCGATGTGTCCTAACTTGTACTCCACTTCTTCTTGAATTTAAAACATAAACTGCTCTGGATAGCTCTGCTCCACTGCCCTCACCTGTCTGCCGAATATTCATAAATGCTCGCCATTTATTGCCAGGCCACTCTGGTAGTCCTGTTCCGGGGTTTGTTTGTGTTACACACACCCACCCACACACTATCACAACACACCCAAACACACTCGGGCAGACACACAATTCCGAGGACAGTTATGAATGGCAATCCATTCGCTTAATGGAATTTCGTGTTGTTTAACTTTTACGTGGCTCCCAGCTTGTAAGAGGGAGGAGGAGGGGGCAGGGGGCAGGGTGCGGCATGTGTGTGTGTCCTCGGGTCAGCTAGGGTCGCCCTGGCCCCCTGCTCCTCCCCGGCCATACCTTCTGGAACCCTCCAACATCATCGTAAAGCTTTATTAGCATTTATTATTCAAGACTTTGCCTCGGACAAGTTTGTGTCTGTTTTAGTTTTATGATCGCTTCCGACTCGACACCTCACCTTAGACAGCCCCCTCCCCCTAGCCATCCCCCTTGCCCATGACCTCTCCCCCCTGACCGGAGCAGGCTTTAATTTCAATAAACGCACATTTTATGACTGCTCGGGTTTATGGGCACGTTGGATTTATTTATTTTTCATTACATTATGCCAAGTGCGACCTCCAGGCTCCACATCCTCCCCTCTCCCCTCCCCTATCCTGTAGGAAAGGGTGCGTGCGTGTAATGAACAAAAATTGCCAAAAATGCTGCCACATGTAACTCGATAATTTCGCAAAGGCACACCGGCAGAACAGTAATCGAAACTCTGAAACCGAAACTGGAATCGAATTCGGAAAATTGGTAAGCCGGGGGAGGGAAGAGGGGGCAAGGGGCAAGGGCTGGGAGGCACTCTGCAGGTCCAGGACAAAAGTGACCAAGCTGTGTGTGCCGCAGGGTCCCGATGCAGTTACAAATGTTGATAAGATGCCATCGATTCGCATAATTTATGTTGCCACACCGACACCGAGCACAGTGGGCTCCAAAGCTGCGGCACCTCCGATTGAAAATAATATTATTTAATTAAAGGATAATAAATTATAGAATAATTCAGAAGAGTCTGTCTGAAGGAACTCATATGCTCATGGGATTGGATTCGACTTCCAGCGGGCACTGTTCCCTCCAGAGGAGTGTATCCTGGGACTCCCACTCGAGCACACATGCACTTGCCTAACAACACAAACACACACACACACAGGTACTCAAAGCACTGCTGGCGTCGCTGCCGGCGCAGGGACATATCGAGGACATTTAAATCGCTCTTAAGTCTCGTTTAATTGGTACTTAGCATGCAAATGCAAAATGAGGCGAGATCCTAGGCAGCAATTGTCGCACTGCCCCCCCTCTGCCTCGCTCTCGGTCTCTGTCTCGGCCTAAGCCTCTCTTTCTCGCAGGACCTCTGTCGGTGCGTGAGAGTGTGCGTGGAGCTCCTGCATGTGTGTCATTAGTTACATGAACAATATGCCAGGCACATCGTCAGCTCGAGCTGCTTGGGCCAGGACTCCTTTCCTGGACTCCCACCTCCCCTGGCTCAGAGAGTGTTGGAAGCAGCACTGGGAAAAACAAGAGGTCGAAGACCACCCCCTGAGCACCTTGGCAGCAGGGTTTCCTCGCAGTGTACGACCCTAGAGAGCTTGAGAGAGCACATTGCAGTGCATTGCATCAAATCAAATCAAATTTAATTGAAATGCCATGCAAAAATATTTTGAGAGAGACGAGAGACGCAAATTGATTGATTTTTGGTTCTCACTTGCCCGAAAGTCCAATTTAAATGCCGAAACCCCCTCCCGCTCCCTCCCCCTCCCCCGGCAGCGTCCTGCGGCCAGGGCCACTCATTGATATAATTACAAAGTTTTGTTGGCCGGTTGATGAGCCAGTTGGAAAACATAATCAAGAATGCGTTGGCTGGAACCACTCCCCCTCACTCCACACCCGCTCACCTCCCCCGCCCACTAGTCCTTGGCCGAAAAAGTTTTAATTTCAAATGAAGTTTGAACAAGCGAGTGGCCGGGACGGGGGCGGGGAGTGGCAGTGGCAGTGAGACGGAGGCAATAAAATAATCAAAGCGTGCACAAAAGTGCAACGAAAATTGCCGAAAAACTGGTAACAAAAGTAAGCAAAATAGAGAAGAAATGGGATAAAGGACGAGGAGTGAAGCCAACCGGCAGGAGCACAGAGTAGAGGGGGAAGGACTCGCAGAATAGACTATCAGATACCCAAAGAGGATAGTTTATCATTGGCTGGTACACCGTCCAACGATATCCTTCGCGAGAGAGTGCTAGGATAGTCGCTGATACCCGAGCTCTTCTTTACAGGGTGTGCCAAAGGGTTTCCAGCTGCGGGCCAGAGCAAATTTACCTGAAGAAAGCCAGGACTAGTTTGGAGAGAGGCAGTGGAGAGCTCAGCACTGGCAAGGATGCGGAAATGGGGGCGAAGCGTGGGAGGAGAAACCCAAACGGCAAATCTACTCAAAAAATGTCCAAAGTACAGGACGAACAAAACGGCAATGCCGTTAGTCCGCGAGTAATGAGAGTCGGTGGGGGGGTGGAGAGGGAGAGGCGGGCAGGACAGCTATTATACGCCATTAGGGCATAATTAAAATGCTCAAGTTGAGCGGGGAGGGGTAAAGCCAACACCAAATACGGACAAGACACTGATAATGACAACTCTGCGAAGCGGAAGAGGCAGGTGAGAGAAGCCCAAGATGGTGCTGGCAACAGTACTACATGCACTCAGAGAACGTTAAATGGGCAACTAATACCACCAGCTAGTATTTAATAATTAACATCAGGGTGTTTTCTATATATCCATTGCAAACAAATAAAAATAAAGAAAAATAGCAAAAAATATCTCGTCGAAAAGTAAATCTTGCAACTTACACGGCACTGTACTTCAATCGCTGTTTTCCATCTTCCCGTTCGTGCAGATACAGTCCTCTCTCTCCGCATCTGCACCTGTGAGAATGCCTCCCACACACACGCGAACGCGAATACGCGAAAGGAGGAGAGGGAGAAACCGACGCGAATACTAACAAATGAAAATAGAAATAACTAATATGTCCTTATAGACTGTATGACTGTATTTTAATCGCTAATTTTTTAACTGATGGATATTAGGTTGGGGTTTATATTTTTTTCACTCTCTTCTAATCATTAAAACAGTTAACCGGCACATCCACACAATCACTCGAGAGTACCTTTGGTTGGACACTGGTACTTTCTTATTGTCATCGTATTCTTATTTAATTCTTATTAGATCGAATTATATCTTTTTTTAACGTTTTAAACTGAATTTAAAAAAAAATGTCGCTTTAAGAAACACTACCGCCAAACGGACGCTTCGGAATAAGATGGTTACGATCCACAAAGTCCGAGTTGGCCGTGCCGACTGCGATCGAAAAGAGCTGAAAGTGTGTAGAGAACGAGAAAGTGAAGAGAACGAAAGTGTGGAGAGAACGAGAGTGTGGAGAGAATGAGAGCGAAGGAGGGGAAAAGAAACTTCCTTCGGGCACACCACCAGGGAAATATAATACAAAGTACGGCGCGAAAGGGAAATTATTTAAGCCCGACTCTCAAATGTCCTTATATCTTTTGGTGGAGGTTTATCCTTCGTTATGGAGACCCTTGTTCGATAAATACTCGAAGGAGTTCACACTCCATCCTTTTTCTCAGTCCATCAATCTGAGCAATGAATTTTGGCAATTAAGCAATCACTTTGGTCATGTCCTGAAAGGGGCTAGGAAAGACGGGGGACGGGAAGGGGCTTTCCTTTTGCCTGAAAGGCTATGGGAGCTCCAGAGTGAATACTCCCTTTTCCAAACCCCAAAAAAACTCCCCAGCTCAACTCAACTCAATGAAATGTTTGTTTATTTTTTTGATGCAGCAATAGCAGCTTCTCCAGATCCTTCCTTGCGCTCCGTCTCCTCCTCCTCTTTCTTGCGCTCCAAGAGTCAATCTATAGAAATAAGGATATGCATATGCTCCTGCCTGAGAGTATGTGTGTGTGTGTGGGTGTGTGCAATTTTATAGCACAGATAAAGGGAGAGCTGGGGAGGAGGTGGCGCTCTCGAAAAAGCAAAAGTTTTCACTTCAAGTACTATTGTCGCTCTGCTTTCTCATTTTTTGCTTCCCTACCCCTAGTTTCTTTTATTTTTCGTTTTCTCCAATTCCCGTTATAGTGTTGTTGGTACTTTTATGGCAGTTGTTGTATCATCATTCGCCTGGCAAAAGAGTTTGGAGCACTTGAGTAGCATTAAAGCATCAAGCGATTGTCTACGGAAAGGCAATTGACTTGTCCGCTCCCGGGGAGAGTACGTGTGTGGGGTGGGGTTGGGGGCTGACTCCCAAATTGGTTGCCCGGGCAATGGGGGAAGGCGGGTCGGTAATAGTCCCCGTACAAAGGATCTAATGCACTGCCCGACTATAAGGACAGTATCCATAGAGAGGAGCTCCGAGCTCCCCAAAAGTATAATTTAAATCGAACCTTTTTGGGACTTTATTGTTCGAGTATTATTAGGAAAATGTTGTGAAAATAGTATTATTTGTCTCTTTTATGGCCGAAAAGGTCATTGCATTTCCAAATGCAACATAATCGGGCATAAAAACACATTTTTATCATCTCCTTTGGCATTGAAATAATTTAAATTAGTTTCGGAATGCATTGCAAATTATGGGCAAACAATTAAGCCGACAATTTGGGGCCATAGAGCCCGGGGCTCCCTGTCGCGGCTCCCTATTAACTCTTTCTAACCCCGAGGGGCTTAAACGGCGCCACACACGATGCACGAACAGGTGACACCCAAAACCGAAACCGAAACCCTAAATGCCATTTGAATATTTTTCTCCAGCTCGCTGGGGGGAGGGAGAGACAGAGAGGGGGGTCACACAGAAATGCAATTAAATTGTAAAAATTTATTAAGCTACTTTGGCAATTTTCCTAATTACATTCATTATAAAAACAACGATTTTTCCACAATTTTCGAGGGGGCTTTTGTTTCAACTGCAAAAAAGGGGGCTACGCTTTTTAAATTTTCATTTTCTGATGCATTCTTTTCGGGGCTCTTGGGAGGGTCTCCAAGGGGGGTCTCTACTGTTTCTCCGCTCTGATGCAATTATGAAAAAATAACTCGGTGATTTCAGAAGTTAGGGACACAGAGATGCCCCAAATTATGAACAAAACCCTGTCCCCCACTGGCCGCGCTCCACTGTCGCCACAATTTCAGCATTTCCCCGCCCTGGACACCCCTATATTATTGACGTCTGCTTTCGCCATATTCGCGTTTCCATTTCCATTTCAATTTCGTTTTTCTGCCCTTGCTGTGTGTATGACCCCCTCGCGGCCCCTTTTCGGGCTGCCACTGAACATGATTTATGCATCGTGGGGGCGTGCCTCTTCTATGTCCTGTTGTTCTGGCCGACGACAGCTTCTGTCGGGGATCGAAGCAATTTGCCAGGAATTAATCACTTAAAGAACTACAAGCACGCGTATTTTGTGTCCGGTTCCAGGATGCACTTCAGAGGACACGGGAGAAGGATGGCGTTCAGTCTACTGCTGGCCAGTCTCCTTGTAGGCCTGGCACTGGCTCAAGGCCCCGGACAGGACTCGCCCCATGTCCGGCACAAGCGCGGCATCTTCTGGGACTTTTTCCAGAAGATGGTCATCACGAAGAACCTCATAGTAGACGTAAGCATCCTTAGAATCCTTTTATTTGAATCCTAATCCTATTATTTTCAAAAGCAATATGTGGACACCCGGAACACCCTGAACGACGTCTACAACGTGGTGAACGAGCAATTCAGCGATCCTGGACCAGCGAAGCCGACGAGTAGTCCTCGCGTGACCACCGAGAAGACCGTAAGATCCTCTGAGGTAACCCCTAATAAACACTATTGACCGAAATCGAATTCCCGCAGTCAATCAGCGGCGAGGAAAGCGGAGGTGAAAGCGAGGAACCCTCCACCACCACCGAGTCCTTCTCCATCTCGAGGTACGAGCTGGGCCGGATCCTGGGGAGGAACTTCCGGGGCCTCCAGCGCCTGGCGATGAGCGAGTTCAGCACGGCCCTCAACGTACGTAGTGGCACCTCCAGCCGAGGATGCACGTCTTTCCACTAACGCCTCTCTCTACTCCCCTTCCAGGCCACCAAGTACAACCTGGCCGAGTACAAGGCCGAGGCGGACAAGCAGTTCGCCAACAGCCTGGCCGTCGAGAAGAAGAACAAACTGAAAAGTCTCAAGGGCTGACACTGAGCCGGGCCACGCCCCTTCCCCAAGTGCCTGATAGTTGTCTCTGTGATAGGCTGCTCCTCCATTTTTTCTATTATTCCTTAACTTTATTTATTTAATGGTTTTTTTTTTCGACTGTATCTGTATCTGTATCTGTATTGAATAAAATGGGGAAAGTGTCCCCAAACGCATGCGGACTCGTGTCTACGACTATTGTGCGTCAAATTAAAAAGTTTTCTTTCATAATTTTATTGATAAACTTTTATTCAAAATAAAGCAAGTAAAAACAGGAGGCAGTCAAAACAAGGAGCAGGCGAAAAAAGGACGAAACTGCAAGCCAAAAGGGAAATCCGCAGTGTCCCCAAAAAAATCAGTACAGTCTCCATTAAATATGTATCTTTGAGATCTTAAGGACCAAGGTTTGTACTATCATGGGCTCTAAATTTCAGGCATTTCATTGGAATTGTATATAAAATAATAGTTGAGAATGAAACCATTTTTCTCAGTGGACCTTTCCCTTTATCCCACACATGGCTGCAACTTTGTGAAATCGAAGTAAAGTTGCAAACAAATTCAAACGGCAAAACTTGCCAAAATACAAAGACAGTTTTGTGTCTGGTTTTGGCCCTCTTTGTGGCCCTCTTCGGGCCCGCATGTCCTGCCCAGGAGCCGGGCCCCCGCATAGTTAGCAGAAACCACTAAAAGTGTCATAATTCGATGCCCATGAGATGGCTGTCTCGAAAGTACGCTGGCCGACAAAACTTTGGCGGTAATGACTGTCGTAAACCCCTCACCGCCCCACTTCCTCCATCCTCCCTTGGCCTGGCCAACTGTGCGTATGAGCAACCTGGCGGGGAAAAGCCTGGGAAAGGCGTCTGCAAAGTTCTGGCCGGGAAAACAACGGAAAAGCCAAAAAATACCAGGAAACTTATCGAAACCAGCGAGCAGTTGCAGTTTCTGCAGCAGCCGGGAGGTATTTGCCAGATAAACAGATTCCTATACACTTTAATGCTTATTTCTCCCGCAACGGGGATTGGAGAGTCCTAAGAGCTATGCAGGAGCTGGCAATGTTTTCAACAACTTCTTAACCTATAAAAATGTACTTCTTTAGACCCACTATCGGGTTTTAATCGGCTTGCCACCTAACCTTTTTAAGAGCTATTTGTGAGTGAATAGAGCAACAGAACAATTAGTTCGAAGCAACATCAACTAAATATCACAAAAAGCACTGAAGAGCAAGTGCGGAAGCTTCAGATGCAAACAAAATGTACTGCTCATATGGATGAGTAATTTCTGGCCTGAAATTATCGCCGATTTGCACCAATTATCTCTAATTCGATCAGTGTCAACAGGGGAATTGTAAGTCCCCTGCCGACTCATATGTATGCCGGAGGTGTTCCGGCCTTTGTTTTCAATTCGGCAAAGCGGGAAACTTACATTAAGGCATTCACACTCGTAAATAAACACACCGAACAAACAATAAAGTGTATCAAATAAGGTCATTAAAATGTCAACACACTTGCCCATAGATCGGGGGTTAAATGGTAGAGGATTTATAAGCGGAAAACGTTAAAATAATTCTGGATCGATTCTTCATAAATCTGCATCAAAAGCTAAGTGCAAAATTTTAAATCGATTTGTCAATTTTTTCCTATGGGGCTTCCTTCAAAGTATGAGGATCCCTATATATGGCTCCATCCGAAGACCAAAGGGGGTTTTCCCCTATAGGGTCCACAGTGATGGCTATATCTTCCCCAATTCTCATCCGATTCTCAAGCGGAGTACCTTAAACGATTTCTAGATCGATTTGCCACCATTCTGCATCAAAATCTTGGGACAAAATATTTTTTAGATTTTTGGTCCATTTTTCGTGAGGGGACCCTTGAAAATGGGGTTTTTCCCTATAGGGTCCACAGTGATGGCTATATCTTCCCCAATTCTCATCCGATTCTCAAGCGGAGTATCTTAAACGATTTCTAGATCGATTTGCCACCATTTTGCATCAAAATCTAAAGACAAAATATTTTTTAGATTTTTTGTCCATTTTTCGTGAGGGGGACCCTTGAAAATGGGGTTTTCCCCTATAGGGTCCACAGTGATGGCTATATCTTCCCCAATTCTCATCCGATTCTCAAGCGGAGTATCTTAAACGATTTCTAGATCGATTTGCCACCATTCTGCATCAAAATCTAAAGACAAAATATTTTTTAGATGTTTGGTCCATTTTTTGTGAGGGATCCCTTGAAAATGGGGTTTTCTCATATAGGGTCCACTGCGATAGCTATATCTTCTCCAATTATCATCTGATTCTCAAGCGGAGTACCTTAAACGATTTCTGGATCGATTCGCCACACTTCTGCATCAAAATCCTGGGACAAAATATTTTTTAGATTTTTGGTCCATTTTTTGTGAGGGATCCCTTGAAAATGGGGTTTTCTCATATAGGGTCCACTGCGATAGCTATATCTTCTCCAATTATCATCTGATTCTCAAGCGGAGTACCTTAAACGATTTCTGGATCGATTCGCCACCATTCTGCATCAAAATCTAAAGACAAAATATTTTTTAGATTTTTTGTCCATTTTTCGTGAGGGGGGACCCTTGAAAATGGGGTTTTCCCCTATAGGGTCCACAGTGATGGCTATATCTTCCCCAATTCTCATCCAACTCTCAAGCGGAGTACCTTAAACGATTTCTAGATCGATTTGCCACCATTTTGCATCAAAATCTAAAGACAAAATATTTTTTAGATTTTTTGTCCATTTTTCGTGAGGGGGACCCTTGAAAATGGGGTTTTCCCCTATAGGGTCCACAGTGATGGCTATATCTAACCCAATTCTCATCCGATTCTCAAGCGGAGTATCTTAAACGATTTCTGGATCGATTCGCCACCATTCTGCATCAAAATCTTAAGACAAAATATTTTTTAGATTTTTTGTCCATTTTTCGTGAGGGGGACCCTTGAAAATGGGGTTTTCCCCTATAGGGTCCACAGTGATGGCTATATCTTCCCCAATTCTCATCCGATTCTCAAGCGGAGTATCTTAAACGATTTCTAGATCGATTTGCCACCATTTTGCATCAAAATCTAAAGACAAAATATTTTTTAGATTTTTTGTCCATTTTTTGTGAGGGATCCCTTGAAAATGGGGTTTTCCCCTATAGGGTCCACTGCGATAGCTATATCTTCCCCAATTCTCATCCGATTCTCAAGCGGATTTTCAAATCAATTTTTTTGTCCATTTTTCCTATGGGGCTCCCTTCAAAAATGAAGATATTGGTATAGGGGTCCATCCGAAGACGATAGCTTCGTCCAAAATGATCGGATTCCCAAGCGGAGTACCTTAAAAGAATTGTATTCACATTGTGGCCTCTCCAACAAAAAAAACACAAGCGGGAAGGGTTATATTCAGATTCGGAGAGAATCTATAAAGTTTGAAGTATTTGATTCAGAAATCGGTTGTAAATTGCAAAACGTATAGATACGGTTAGCAGTTGTACAAAACCCAATTGATTTAGTCTCCATAAATCTCTATCAAGGTAAATAATAGCTATGAATTTAAATTTTGTATAAAAAATGTAAAAGGTCGTTGTAAAAAGAGCACTATAGCTCCTGAAATTAGGGGTCTGAATTATTATTAAGCGTCGAGCCCGTCATGGTGACTGGTCAGCAGCATCTGGGCTGTATAATTTCGAGCGAGAGTGATTGGAGGCTTACTAAACGTAAGGGAACAACACGTTCTATTACAGAAATGTTTATTTTAGTTTATTGACTGTGTCTGTGAATCCCGAGTTGTTGTATTTGAAAATTGTTTCCATGAAAAGTTCATTTGAATAATTGCGATGCGAAATATAAATCACTTCGTCACTCTGTATGAAGTATTTATTTTTATATGTTTTTTGGCCGCATGATAATTCAATTACCCCTCATACTGTTCATTTGTTTATACGCGTATTTGCTTTGGCCTCGCTCCCAGACTTTGGCTGAGACTACTGCGCCTTGACCCCACTTGATTCGATTAGCTTTCAGTTGATAAACAGTGATCTGTGATCCCCATCCAATCATTAGACATTTCTGGCGAGACAAAGGCACGGTTTCAACTTTTGTTGAGTGTTTATTTTCAAATACATCACATGAAAAAAATTCAAAAAAATTCAGAGCGAAAACAAAGGCATCTTATGCAATCCTCCACTGTCAGAGGCTGAGACCCGGGTCCGTTCTGGTCCGCCTGGAATAAGGTGCACGGAAGGTTACCTTAACCAACGGCAGGGCTAGACGGAAGACGGGCCTCACAGGGCCGGAGGAGGTGAAGGGGCGATGGGAGCCAGAAGCACCTTCTCGGTGGGGGCGTCGTAGGGCACGGCACTGCGAGGGGTTGTCGAGCCCTCGTCGGAGAGTTTGTGCTTCAGGACATCGTACTGGTGAGCCACCGACTGGCCGAGGTCCTTGGCACCGTCGCTGATCTTGTCTGTGTAGGGCTTGGCCGCCTCCGCCACGTCCTCTGCCCCCTGCTTGACCTTGCAGCCGAGGTTCTTGAAGAAGTGTGTGAAGTCGCTGTCCTCCGGCTTCTTGGAGCTATCACAGTCAGCCCGTTCCCCGTTGGCTCCACCGGCCGACATCGCCAGCACCACCAGACCCACCACAGAGAGCACCACCAGCGATTTCATCTTGACAGTTTCAGTTCAGACACGTAACTGACCGCTCGGCGTCTCTGGGCCCCGTAAATAGGCGAAGAGCTCAGTGGGGCTTACGATCCGGTCTCCGGGCTCTCGGGCCTCGGGTCTCCGATCTCGGTTCTCAGATCTCCGGCAACCGGTTCCGCTGTTCCACCCCGCCTCGGTGCCTCCCTCTCCATCGTTCAAAAGTCGAAATCAAGTTGCGTTCGAGTGAGCAGCTTGTTTGTTTTCATACCCTAGGAAGCAGTGTTTCTATTTGGCCGGGGACTTTCCCAATAGGCGGAGAGTTCACTGTCCGTCTGTCCATAAATTCACAGTCTTTTCACTAGTGTCCCAGCTATAAATCTAACGATGTTCATCTGAATCTAACGAATCTTAATAGGAGGAACCCCCATGGCTTCAGTATATAGGGTATACAAAGATCGTCTCAAAAGCAGACTGTTCTGGTTTCCATTTTCAATGCAAACGGCTCGCAGTAGAAAAATTGAGACTGCCTCATTGACATGTCTATAATACGCAGAAACAAATAATAAACACGGTGTCGAGATCGGATCATTGAGAAGTAATAAATCCACAAAGCTAATGATTCTAAGAACTAGATCTGGGCTTTTATTTTTCGCAAAAGTCACGACAATTAAATTGGAGAGATTACATATTTAGGCACTCTTTTCCGCGGGAGCCTTTCCTGGGAGCACCGTCCCCATTTTCGGGGCACAAGGGGGCCTCAGTTTCCTAGGATTGGCCCAGTAGATGCAGCAGCCACGATGGTCCCGCCAGGGGCATCCTATTCCCGTCCAGACACTGGCTCCAGTGCAGAGCAATCCGATGACTAGGAGGAGGGACACTAGTAGTAGTCCGCAGGTGCTCAGGAGGCGCATCTTTTCCAGGCTGCAGGCAATTGGCAATTAAATCAAGTGTCGGGACTCCTGAAACACGACTCCCTTGTGATTCATTCTGGGCTCCAAAACCGGATCGGAGTTGCATTCTGTTTGTTTATTTTTGGCCAAGAACCGACCGCAGAGTGCTGGGAAAAGTTCAGAAGAGAAAGTCACCAGAACTGAGTCATCTTTAGCCACGAACTCATCTTAATTGCAGTGTCTTGGGGTGTTTATTAAGAAAATAAATAATTTCGCCACAAACTTTGCGATTTAACTAGTTCTAAGCCACTATTACTATCAATTATGTTAGGGATTCACTTCTATTTCTATGAACTACTAGAACTGGCTACTTAGTGGTCTCCGGGACAAAGTCCACCTCGTTAGCTTGATCCTCCAGCCAGTCCATGTGGACAGGGGGCGCCGAGGTGGTTAGCTCCTCCTTGGGACTACTCTCCTTTTGTGTGGTGGGGGATGAAGATGAAGACGTCTCTGTGGTGCTGGTGACCTCCTCCTGGTCCTTGTGCTTGTCCGTGTCCTTGTCCTTGTCCTTTTCTTTGTCCTGGGTGAGCACACTCACCAGCATGTTAAAGCGTTGGAAGAGGGACCGAGTGACGTCGCGGGCTTTCTCCTCGAGCAGCTTCGCCTCCTTCTCGATGTTGGCTATCCAGGGCTTGGCCTTCTCCAGGGTGCACTGCACGCTAAGGACGAACTTGTTGACCTCGCTGGGGCTGGGGGTGGTGGTATCCGCCTCCTCCGCCGCCGACTTGGCCTCGGATCCGCAGACTATGGCCGCTGCCTGCAGTTGGCCGATCAGGCAGAGCCCAAATAAAAACAAAACAGTCAACGAATTAGTCATCGTTCTCCGGTTTCTTGGGTTTCTTGAGCTTGGGTGTCTTGTGTCTTTCGATTGCCGATCTGGTGTTTCTCCTTCGAGGCCCCAAACGCGACTAAAACCCGTTTGCAGTCACTTGACCAAGTTCTTGGGTAGATTGGGCTGGGCCTAGGTTCCAGCGGCGTTTCGGAGCTTGCCTCGTCGAGAAAGTCGTCGGGTGACTAAAGTGCATTTTGTCCAAAGCCCCGAGAAAGACAGAGAAAGACGGTGGTCCCGGGATTCTCCAGAAAAGAAAAGGGAAGGAACATGCAGAGCGAGTAAATATTTTATGCAATAATCCATCCAGGTATCCCCTGGAACCCCTGGATATCCATCCATATCATAAACAGAAATCAACTAACATGAATCATCGTCACACTCTGCATTTAGATTAGAGGGAATTGAATAATACACTTTGGGTCGGATTATTCCCATCCTCCGGTCCAATTAGAGTGGGAGGAAAGACATAGCTAGACAGAGAAGAGAGATTCCCAAAACTCGCTTGAATTCATTCACATTCTGTTTTTATTCACATAAAAATTAATAGGAAAATAATAAAAAAAAAAACTTAAATATTAACTGCGCTGGGTCGAGCCCTACTTCCTCAACTTGCTGCAGTTGCCCAAGGCGTCCAGGATGTGGCCGTGTCCGCACTGCTGCTCCCCCTTGAGAATGTCTGGGTTGATGATCTCCACGTTGGCGAGAAAGCCGCGGTCCTTGCTCATCTCCTCGGCCGAGTCCTTGGCCAGCTTGTCGCGGAAGTCGTCGAAGCGGTCCTTCAGGTCCGAGCCGAGGACCTTGGCCTTCGCGCCGAGCTTCTGGGCGCCCTCCTTCAGCTCGGCGCCGAGGTCCTTGGCCTTCTCGCCCAGCTTCTTGGCGCCCTCCTTGATGTGGCAGCCCACGTTCTTGAAGAAGTCGCGCACCTCGTGCTCCGAGCTGCTGCTGCTTCCGGTGATCTCCGAGATCTTGTCGCTGACATCTCCCAGCCCGGGGATCTTGTCCTCGCAGTCGAACAGACCTGCGTGGCTCTCCACCAGTGCTCCCACCAGGAGCAGGGCGATCAGGGATCCTTGCACGAAGTTCATCATTAGATGTTTGGGTATCTCTGGGTAGGTTCCTGTGGCTTCTCGACTGAAAACCAGACTGAACGCTGACTTGACGGTGATTCGATGGCGACTGACCTGGGCGCCCCGGATCGCATTCATTTTATTCGCATTCCGGCGCCTTTGTGTTCGCATTTTCTCGAAGCCCGTAATACTCGGTAATTCAATTTGCGAACAACAACAATCGCCCCGTATCGCGAGCAATTGTGCGCTGATTTAAGATATCTACTAAGATACGTGCCAAGAGGGTGGCCCCTCGGACACCCTGGAGCGCTCTTAGAGACCCTGGAACCCGCGGGAGGGAACGCGGGTCAAGGCTATCCGATAAGGCGCCCCTTCCCGACTTCCCGATCGACCGACCTTCCCATCCCTTTCCCGGCAACACGATCGCCCTGTTTGTTTTCCATCGCCCCGTCTACTCCATATAGTAGATAGACTATATAGATTTTTTGCCACTGCCGGAAGCTCTGTCAAAAATGGAACATAAATAGTCTATACTATAGACTCTATAGTATAGACCACACAGTGCCTTCAATTTGTATTTCCACTTTGGAAATTGACCCACGACGACACTTAATGGATCACATGATAAGCGAAAATAAGAATTTGTTCAAAACAAAGCAACTCAGCACAATGGGTTATGTTTATTTCGGAGACTGATTACTTATAGTCTTACATATCGTCCCCCGTATTAAACGAAAACTTCTCAAAGGCACTCTGGTCGTTTTCGCCGATCGATCCGCCGTTCATCTCATCGTTTATGTCGATCGATCCCCCGCCGCTCTCCGGGTTTGTGTCGTCGTCCGCGGGCACGTCGTCCTCGGGCACTTCGTCCTCGGGCAAGTCATCAGCGTCGAGTTCTACGTAGTCCTCGTCTTCGGGAATGGGAGTGGGTTCCTCATCGTCATCCTTCTCCTCTTCCTCCTCCTCCTCGTGAACGGAGGGGGCACCTGAAAGTACGAGAATCCTCAGTTAAAGCTCAATGCTCTGAAGTTTACTCACATTTCTCCTGAGTGGGATCAGAGTCGCAGTCCCAGGAATCCTCATCGTAAGGAGCCAGAGTGGTGGTAGTCGTAGTAGGTCGTGGAGTAGTAGTTGTGGTTGAAGTCGTAGTAGGTCGTGAAGTAGTAGTTGTGGTTGTTGTTGTTGTTGTTTTGGGTGGTCTGGAGGAGGTGCTAGGAGCTACTCCTCGACACTCCGCGAGACTTGGATCGAAGTCGCATCGAATGCGCCAATCGAGCTCGTCCTCGTCCAGCGGAAGAATCACCTTCTTTCGGGGGCGCCGCTCGTAGTAGACCTTTCGCACTTCGATGATCTCCACGTCGGGGTCCGTGGGCGAGGGTCGGCGACGCACGTAGGTCCTGTGGGGCTTGTCTGGCAGAAAGCGGGCCTCCACCAGGCAGGAAAGCCCCACGAGCAGGACGAGAACCGGGATTAGGGATCTGCTCATCGCGTAGTTCGCAACTAAACTGTTCCGGGGACTGAAGACGCAGTGCAAAAGCCTCCGGCTGGCAGCTAATCATTTGCCGGATAACCTTCTGACCTTGTGCCTGTTGGAGTGGGGGTTGTGGGACCGTATGGGGAGTGAGAAGCTCAAAAGGCACAGCATACTTTCGGGGATTGAAGAAAAATGGCCCACACGCCCCGTCGTAATGCATTAATGTTTGGCTGAGACATGCGACCCCTTCCTGTTTCCAGGACCTTCGGAGGTGGAATTATGCATTCCGTAAGGATACAGAAGAGACAGCTGCATGGGAAGGACATTAATCGGTTGGGATAATTGGTTATTGTAATAGATAGCCCACAAATTGGTAACCGCTTTCGACCATCAATAATTTCTCCGATTATGTGGAAAGCTCTCGCTCTTTCCCTCTCAAATGAGCGTTCTTCCTTCTCTTTCCTGCCTTGTCTCTGTTTGTTTGTCATTTTTCAATGGCAAACAGTCTGCCAGAGGGGGCCGGGTGGGGGCTGGGGGCAAGAAGGCGATGCAAATTAGCCAAGAGACGTCGGCGGACACATATGTTTCGGCCATTTCCCAATAACATAACACAAATCTGTGTGTTTTCCCCGATTTTCCGAGGCTGCCTGGGCGGTGGGCTGCTCGAGGGGTTGGGGTGCGGTGGGTGCGGGCGACAGTGATAGATAAACAAAAATATTATAAATCAACACTCAAATATTTGATACGCTACATCACCAGCTAAGGCTCTTAAATAGTTTGGGGTTCAACCTATATTCCACCTCAGTGTTCCACCGCAGTGTATGATAATATATTATTAATTATTAATATAATTATCTATTATCTATTATCTAGTTAGTGCATTTATTCAATACTTGAACGCCTCGAGAGGGTATCCCTAGTTTCGGTGGGAGTCTGAAAAAAGTATAAGGTATTTGGTGTGTGAGAGCGTGAAATATGCAAAATCCAAGAGGGTCGCCGCAGGGGCGGGAGGAGGCAGGCTGCTGGGGGCGGGCCTGGTGGCAAGTGGGGCGGACGGAATCATTTCGGGCCCGCGAGATGCCGTTAAGTCGAACAGTTCTCTACGAGGCACGTTGGCGGGCGGAACTCGCAACTCGACGCGATCGCAGCTGATCGGACGCGAAAGAGAGAGGGACGGCAGACGCGGGCTGGAGCGAGAGGGCCCTAGACCAGCAGTACGATTTTTTACCTCTTTCTGCGGAATATACAGATCTCCCGACACTTTTTTTTGTGCAGTGCAGTGTTTATGTTTTTTTGGCTCGGTGACCTAAAAAAAAGGGACACGGTGAGCTCCACCTCGTAAGTGCCCTACTGAGGGAAACTCGGGAAAGTGGCCAAGTGGGTGTGAGAGGGGGAGGGGAGTGCCTTTCTCGGGGAGCAGATCAACTAAAAATAGCCAAAAACATAAAAACGAAGAAGTCGAGCGAGCGAGAATGCTTACAAAAACAAGAAACAAAAAAAGGAAGCCAAAAATAATTGAAAGCGTGGGCAGCGTTCGAATAAGCAAAGTACAGTGAGGCCGCCCTACGAGGGCCTCCTAAAGAAGAGCCAAAAAGTCAGCCTGCACGCAATAAACCCAAAATATAACAAAAGGTCCATCTCGGAGACACTACAGGGAGCCTTGGAGACGCCTTATCGAGTGCCACCTGTACAGAATCAGTTGGGATAAACAATAAATTGGCCAAAGGCCAAGCAAGAAGAAGCGATAGCCAGAGACAGATCAAAAGAAGCCAGCGGACAAAAGAGCAACAGGTGGGAGGGAAACCGAGACCCAGAATCCTTGCAACTTGCCCCAAGAGTTCAGCCTCCAATGTCCCAGTCGGCGGGGGAGGAGGACCAGGAGGACCTCGAGGAGGATCCCCTAGCGAATCTACTTAGTCTGAAGCTGCGGAAGCCGGCCAACTGGAACTGGGAGTTGAGCACCTCACGTAGCTGCAGCAACATCGCCCTGCCACGGATCCTGTTGTACGACCATACCGGAAACCTCCTGGTCGACGCCACTGGGCAGCGGGAGGGCACCTACCGCTCCGGGGACTCGCCGCGGCGCCGCAAGCGCTCCGCCACATCCAACTTGAGTCTGGAGAGCAACTTCCACGGCCTCCAGATAGCGGAGGCCACGCCCACGCCCACTACCACACGCACAGCAACGCCCACGGCCGCACAGACGCCCAGTTCGAGCGGCAGGAGCGGGGAGGGTAGAAAGAAGAGCCACGGAAGCTGCATCGACTTCAGCACCCACGAGCTACCTAACTGGGAGCCCTCCTCGAGGAGGTCGAGCTCTTTGCGAAGCGTCCGCTTCCAGACGGCGGAGGAGCTGCCCGCCTACCCCACTCCGCCCTCCACCTCTACGCTGAACTCGTCCAGCTCGGGCCCGCGGGAGAAGAGGCGCTACCGACGCTCGCACAGCTCCATCTTGGAGCGGTTCAGCCTCTCCAAGGGACGCCACTCCTCACCGGAGTTCGCCCAGGAGATGGAGGTGGAGAAGGCGCCGCGGTACTTCCTGCGCACCAGCAAGGCCGGCACGCTGGTCATCCGCGAGGAGAGCTTCAGCTCCCAGCGAATGCGCCACCGACGTCGGCGTCCGCCCAAGCATTCCTCCAGCGAGAACATCCTCCAGGAGCGGCAGGACGAGCAGGAGGTTCCAGAGGCAGTAGTTGTGCAGGCCACAACGCGCCAAAGGGTGGTAAGAACGGTGTCCACCTCGGAGGAGGAGGCGGAACAGCAGCCTAGAAGGTCAAGGACGAGACCCAGAAACCAGAGCCATCGCAGTTGCGGCAAGGACGCAGCTCAGGGTAAGTTCCAGGACCTTTCGATGCCCTTTCCTAAATTTGACCACTCTTCCAGACCTTATAACCGTGGATCCGGATAATTGTGTGTACCGTGCAGCGCCGGGCGCCACGGCACGCTAGGAGAACGCCCCGAAGAGAGTCTTCGCAGGAGACTGGACAGCTAGGCTGAAAGAGAGAGGAGAAGAGGGAAAGCGAGCAGTGCGAAAAGAGACAAACCAAGAGTTCCTCCCTGTGATGTAAGACGATAGAACCGACAGAAATAAAACAAATAAAATAGAAATCATAAGTGCAGGGCGGTATGGGGGCTCGGGGGATACTGATTTGAGTTGTCACCTATTATGGGTCTCCCATTAGACCCCATTAGAGAAGGCAGCAGACAACCTTTTCAATCAGAAAACGTATTTAGAAGGGCAGTCAGAGGTGAGGCGTGTTCCTCCGCCTGAAGGTAGGCTTTCCGGGCCTCCACTCGTCTCGGTAAGCCGGGGACTGGCGTGGCGAGTCCGGAGGCGCGTGGCGGAGCAAACAAGCTTATCTCTAGCACCCACTGATAAGCCGAGTCGAAAGACAATCACCAAAGTTGGAGGGCTCAGTGCGATCGCGAGAGCCTTGGAACGAGATGCGGATGCTGTGGCTCCTGCTCTTCCTGCTTCTGGGACCCTCCTGCCGGGGGGCGGGCAAAGTGATATACTTCAACCAGCTGAACAGGACCCAGTCCACCGAGATGGCCAAAAACCAGACCGACTTGCTGGGCAAGGGCATGCTATTCGACGTGCGGGGGAATCGGTGCCACCGGGGATTTACGAGGGACCACCACGGACGCTGCCGAAGAGTGAGTATCTCCCTCTGGATATCATTGTGAGGTCTGCTCATCCCGGTTTCTGCCTCCCTTCCAGATTGTCAGATAGCCGTGCTAACTTATTTTAAGATTCGTGTTTATTTCGAGTCTGTGCCGAGATTAAAGTAAAAGCCGCCGACCGTTCATAAAGCGAGATAAGACAGCTGATTTCTATTCCACAAAAATAATAATAAAAAACAAGTTCCAAAGCAGTCGATTGTGCAATTGCGTCTTAATCCCATGAAGAAACATTCCAATCCGGACTTGGACCTTAGGGGGAGAACCCCCTGGAAGGTACGATCCGAAGTTTGGACTTGGGCCTTGCGCTTCGTCACGAAATCGGAGATACGTCACATCACGTGTCGCCACCCACGTAATTATGATGAAATTGCTGAGTTTCGTGGCGTTGCAGATACCCAGATACCTAGATACCCAGACACAAGATACAATTCAAAAGACACAAAAGAGATAAGGGCGGATCGGTGAGTAAGTCGGTCAAAAATAGCAACGATCGATGGAGTCTCCTCCCACAAAAACCCATAACCCTTATGCGGTGACACTTTCGGGAAATTTCAGTCGCCGGGCCGATAAGGTCGGTAAATAAATCCGTGACGTCCTCTAATTACAATCAAATGCTCAATGGGGAGTCGCGTGGTAGCCCCGATAGCTAGTCGCCAGTGAATTGCCAAAAAACACACTCTTTTACAAAGAATTTTGAATGGCTCACTGGTCGGGGCAGCATTATGAAGCTGAAAAGCCCAGTAGTCGCGGTTCTATCGCGCCGATCGGTACCTGATTTGTTGATTCGCCGACCAAGTCACCAGTATAAGGTGGCGAAAGTGGGCATTATATTTGTCCCGATAAGATATAAATATTCGGGTACTCGATCCATTCTTGACGATCCATTCGGAGTTTCCACCTATTAATTATGCTTTTCGAGTAAGTAGTTTGGATTAGGCCGGGCCTTTTGAGTCATAACCCCTGACGTAGATAAACGATCCATTCAATACCTTTTCTCCAATTCATTGTTTGCCCAAGGATCGTAGGTTTTCCCAGAAGAGTTCAATACGGTGGCTAAGGGTGGCCACGTCCCACAATTATGCTTGTGGGGGGGTTCTCTCGTGATGACGCTGTGCCAATGGACTTAGGAGGTCCGTGCTCAGATACAGATATAGATACAAAGATACGGGGGAGTCGTGCTCGGCAACTCGGTAAATCAGTGCTGGGGAAGGCGGAGCACTCAATTACACAGATTGCAAACGGCATGGAGGACAAGGCGGGCAGATAAGATTTCCCCCGGGGCTGGCGGAACAGGGTGCCGTGCGTGGGTTGCCGAGGCCCCAACCGTTGGGCCTCCGGAGTGGGGACACCCTGCTGCGCTCTCTTCTCGCAGGTTTATCAGCCGAATGGAAAGACTGAGGGCGAAGAACACTAATAAGTGGTACCCCAAAATCGTATAAAATCAGTTAACTGCCGGCACTGGAGCAAGCCACTTGGTTAGCTCAACTCTCTTTTTTTTTGATCGGAGGGATATCGGACGCATATCGGAGAAATGTCGTCGATGCATCAGCTGCTCCTCTACTCGCTCTGCCTCTGGGCCGTGATCGTGTTCTGCGCCCCCGCGCCGGTCGAGTCGCGCCGGGTGATCTTCCTCAAGCCAAACGGCATTCACCGCGGCCAGATCCTGGCCACCCACGGGATGGAGAAGCCCTGCCCCCAGTGCCACATGCACGACCACCGGGGCAACTGCCGCCGCATCATCTCCTACAATGCAGGTGGGTCGGAAGCCTATGCCACATATCACGTATGCGCGTTACGTATACGCCCAGTGTGTCACCGTAATCGAGAGATTACATAGTGTCCACTCGTGTCCCGCTCGAGTCCCCCCTCTAACCACTTTTCCCCTTCCTCTCTCTTGCAGATGGAGTCCGCTGCTAGCCCGCGAAGTGAAGTGAAGTGAAGTGAAGTGAACAATCCATCATCATCGCCACGAATCTCCTCTCCCAGCCAAACTATTTATTTATGCCATCTATCTGCCTCGCCCGCCACACTATTTAATTAATCGTAATCCGTAATAAAACATCAAATAGCCGCAACAGTGGCAATTAAGTAAATATTTTTATTTCAATTTGATTAACGGCCTGCAATAGCTACCGTCCTGGAATTCCATTCAATCCGAATATCTCATTTCAAAATCAGAAATATGCATCACTGAGGGATTTTTTTCTTTCGGGCCTTTCGAGTGGATTCGGAAATATTTTATTTATAAATTATAACACTGACTTGACGTAAATACCCCTTGCCAGAAACTAATCAGAGTCATCGACACAGGCAGGTGCTGTTTTCTGTAGCTCGGATTGTTTTGGCCTGGTTATCAGTCTTAATTGGCCTCCACTCACTTTTTTTCCCAATAAAAAGATACAAGCTAATCCAATACACCATCTGATATCCAGTCTAGACCCTTCCCTACAAGCTCCACATGCGTCAGAGCCCCTTCGAGGTGGTTGCTCCGCCAGACGACGTTAAAACTTTGGACCTCTACGTCAGCCCAGGGGGCGGGGCCCTTAATCAGGTGGTGGACAGGTGATTCGGATTCAATTTGGATTCATCAAACTCCCTTATCGACATGTCACCCGGAATGGGAGATAAATGCTGAATGGAATTCAAATTTTGCGGGTGCCGAGTTCTTCCCAAATCATAAACTAAAAACTATATAATACCCAGTACTTGATTGTAACTCTTGAAAAGATGTAGTATGTTAATGTAGGAAAACTATGGTAGTTTTATTGTGGAAAGGATAGTATAGAAACTACCGAGAAGTAAACCTTGTACTGTTATTCATTCACTCTTTTTTTAACTGCTTGCGGAACTCTTGGAAATCGGGGACCTGTATGATTTATGATTTCTCCACTGCTTGATAAAGTCGGTGGGTAAATTATATTCTACACCGATTGGTGGAGGCCCAAATGCTATAGCATAGTTTCGGGCTGCAATAGGGGGATCCAGAAGTGTGAGAACGCGGCAAGTGCGACCCGGAACACCGGATGTTGAAGCGTCATCGGTACGCGGAATGGCAATGGTCAGGGATCCACTCGAACTCGATGAGTGGGTCCGGGCCCCACCTTGGCGGGCTAACTCACGGCAGTGGAATTTTACTATAGCCGCGATTTGCGACACAAGACTCTGCCTGAATTGGCACAAAAATAGCTCCCTCGCTCTATAGGTCTATATCTGTAGCCGATATGTGGAGAACCCGGGGGACCAAGACCGCAGACAATATACACATGGGTCTGTAATTATTCGCTTGCGAGTGGCCGAGGGCTATGGCTTTGGAGACATTATCTTATCGGCTGGCAGCGGAATGCCTTTGGGCTTATCTTATCGATTGGCGTCTTGGAATATCGACGGGCGGCACACCGAGAGCGGGCTCAGTCATAAAAGCAACCCGCAGGCGAAGCCATCGTGCCCGCCATCCGCAGTCCGCAATCCGCTCTTGAAATCCGTACGGAAAAGTTTCCAACCTGCGTATTGATTTTAGTGACGACCTCAACGACAAGATGCAATTAAGCCGCCTGCTGCTAGTGACCCTCCTGGTCTTCGGCCTTATCCTGGCCCAGACGGAGTCCCGACGCCTGATCTTCTACAGTCCCCACAGCCGACCCCTCACCAGCCAGCTGCTCGTCTCCCGGAAAATGCCGCGGCCCTGTCCTGCCGGCAAGATGCGAGACCACCGGGATCGGTGTCGCCGGGCCGTGATCTTCGGACGCAGCAACTGAGCCACCACTGGGAATCAGACGCCCCACAATCTCCAATTACACACTTTTTTTTTGTTAGTCGTAAGCTAATTTATTTTAGCAATAGTTGCGTCACAATGTGACGGCCAAGTATTTATTACACTATTTATTTTTAGCTGTTAACAATGATAAGTAATAAACTAATGTGTCCGTAAAGATAGAAACCGAAGAACAGAACCTTACATGTTTGCTTGGTAATCGGCAGAAATAAACGATTATTTGTGAAAGATATACCCGGGTTCGGGTACTATCCTGGGAACAAAAGCTCATGAAACTTGAATAAATATGCTTTGAGTCACGAATACCAAATTATCCTCTCAAAATCTAAGAAGATTCGTATTTTAGTCATGGTTAGTGAGGGATCTGTGCACTACACTCCTTCCTCGTGCAGGCTTCCCCATGATGATCTCAGGGCTTCGAGTATTATTGCCCCATACTATAGTGTTATGGGTACGCTATAACATCGGTATTACTATATTACTACCCGAACCTTTTCTGTGTCATGACCGAATGGCTCTAATCTCCGCAAAAATCTAGATGGGGTGCGATTAGGTCCGCGGACATGCTCGGTAAATTGCCGCCGGAAATCAGTGACGTCAGGGAGATATGACGCCTTCGTCTGAGACCTCAACCTCAAACGTCAGGAGTGCGAAAGGGAAAACCTTGGCGGGGAACTCCCACAGGTAGCCCCCGTTTCCCAGTTATCGGGTGTCAGGAATTCTGTTTATTTAATTACGAACACAGTAGTAAAAAGTGGCATACCTCGTCAGTTTCTAGGTGATAATTAGTCCGGGGTTCCTACTTGATCTCTGCAGCCCCCGCCCCCGTTGACCATAGTTCCCAGTACTCCCCCAAAACTACAAATCAAATGAAACTTCGGCCTGGCTGGAGGCTGTCAGGCGCGTGACCCGCAAATTGGAAATATGAAAACGGCAAGTGGCAAGGTGGCAAGGACCGAGGTACTCCGGAGTCCGGAGCCCGGACAGGTGGAGGTCCTGCTTCGGAAGCCGGATGTTAACGGCCAGTGGCTGCAGTGCAGCAGGATGTGGTAACAACCGGGTGGTCCAGGGGAGAGGAGCTCGGGGCAAAAGCCAAACAAAAGAGGAAATTAAAATATGCAGACCGAAAACCGCGCGTTTTGAATTTTCGCGCGTTTTTTGGGCCACGCTCTTGCATAAATTGCCAACACCCACTGGCCACCCACCACCTCCCTCCACCCAGAGCCGCCCGTGTACCGGCCACGCCCCCTCGATTTTTTAGCATCAGCCATCAGTGAAGCAAGGCGAGAGGGTCATGTATCATCAAAATATGCAAATCTCGATTCGGACACTCGCACTCGTCCTGGGGATTCGCATTCGCATTCGCATTCGGACTCGGATTCTTGATTCAAAATGTGGTTTATGGATTGTGGGATAGGGGGGTGGCAGGGCGAGGGTTTAGGGGTAACGGGTTACGGTTGTTTCCTGTGTTTTGCAACAGCACAGGGGCAACAGCAACAGTAAATAAGCTGGGAGGACACTTGCAACACGGCCGAAAGTAGTTGCCTCTGGCCAGGACTAGAGGGCCGCCGGCAGGAATTTATGCTTATGCACTCTAACCCCCACTCCGCCCCATTTCACCTCGTCAATCGGCTAATCAGTGGCCTGCCCGGGCGGCAGGGAACCCCAAACATCCGCAGATCCTGAAGTCCGCACTGAAACAGCCATTGAAATTAACCTCTAAGCCTGTCGAGCACTTTATAGTTTATCAACCCAGTAGTTTAAATTAAACGTTGACCCTTTGTTTCAAATATTCTTGCTCATATTTTCGAGTATCCTTCGGGGTCCTTTGGGCTCTGCGGGGTCACCTAGGGTTAAAGCACCAGCGACCAGGGGCATGTGGCAAAACGATTTATGCGCTGCCAGATAGGAATCGATTGAACTGTGTCGGCGGGAGGCAGGACAAGCAAAAGGATATGGGGCAAGTGGCGGAGGCACGGAGCCAGTGGGTGGCTAGGGGGCGGCGAGTGTTTAGATTGAATGTAAACTGCACTTATGACAATGAACAAGTGACCCCGGATACCCGGGTGCCCGGGTGCCCGGTTACCCGAACCCGACCTGCCACGCCCTGCTGTAAATGCCGTGGGGCAGAAGGCGAGCACGGAAATGCTGAGACCAGGATACTAGAACAGTGAGTGTCCTGGGCAAGGACTCTCTCATAAAAAGACGAAAAACGCATTTTTTTTTGGATATTTGGAATATTTGAATTCCAACTAAGAACTGGAAACTATTTCGCGAAAAACCAAATAGGAACTATTGTGGCAATGTTGCCCACTGTAGAGCAGCTCCATCGCACCTCCATCCCTGGCCCATGGCCCACGGGGATCCTGATCCTGGCGAGAATCGAGGGGCATTCAGAGACTGAGAGGAGTGTGCAGTCCATGGCTGAGGCAATTTCTATTCCTTTTTATGATTTATGGCGTTGAAATATTAGTTTTGCTTATTTCCCACAGACCCCCCTTGACCTGCCTGTCTGCCTGCTTGCCACATGCCACCGCCCTGGTTCACTGCTTCCCTGGGGCAGGTGGCAAGGAGCCGAAGCAGGAGCAGGAGCAGTTGCAACGTCTGAGGTGCATAGCTCATTTTGTGAGCTGCAGCAGGTGAGCGTTTATAATAATCGAGGGGGGTCCGAGGGGCCTTGTCTTGAGGCAGCTGAACTTGCCACATGCCCCACCTGCCACCTTGCCCCTGCCCGCAACGCTAGATAAAATTGTTTCGATCAGACTGCGTTGCCATCTCTCGCAATTGATGCAGAAATCCTTTGTGTCTGTGTGGGTATCCCGGCGTGTCCTGGCAGGATGTGTGTGTGTGTGTGTGTCTGGGGAGGTACTCGGGCTGAATGTGTTAATAAATTGCCACTTGCAGCTATTTTGCAGCCATGGCAAATTGGCTTTTATGCAATTGGCAAAAGGTCCGATGCCACAAAGTATTCAAAAGCCAGGTACCCAGTGTCTTCTCTCCTCCTCGTCTTTGTCCTGTCTCACTCGCAGGATTCCCAGGCATTCGATTATGGCTTTTACGGGGCTAGTCATCCCCCCGATCCCCGTCCTTGCTTCGTGTTCAGTGGAGTTGTGGCAAAAGTCCTCTTATTTGGTCTGAAGTCGGCCAATTAGCCAAAGCCGCTTTGTTGGCCCTATTTTCGGCTGCCTTGCCTCGGCGATGGATGAGAGGTCCTGGTTGTTATGCAGGTAACATATTCATTTTCTCGCACCTCGCAATATGGGGTCCTTATGGATGAGCTCCTGCGTGTCAAGTGCCAATGGGCTGATGTGTTTATTTGCCCTCCCAAGTACCGAACGACGGCGATAATCGATGCGTGTGACAATTAGGTCCTGGCACAAAAACCTCCACCTCCCCCCACTGTCTTCCCCGGGAAAAGCAGGAGAAGATCTCACCCCCTCAAGGGGGAATGTCTCAAAAGTCCCTTGAGGGCGAAAATCGAACAATGCTTTTCGCCAGATCGCGTTGAAAATGAAATTTAATTTTATGACTCATTATTTTACGCACGCACCTCGCACATAATTCTTGCTACGGTCTGGCCCCGAACCCTCCACCCTCCGCCCTCCACCTGCCACCTTCCACCTACGCCCCCGACATACGCACTCGAAGAAAAAACTGGGGCATAAATATCGTTTTTTTCGGCAGGAGGGGGAGGTCCTTAAATGAGCTCCGTGAGACATTTTCCGTTCCGCCTCGATTGTCAACAACCCGACAGGCTCGAAGAAAGGAAAACACCTCCCCCGCCTTCTGAGGACCTCCCAAGGACCTTCCCCCCCCCCTGCCAACCACCCCAAATGTTTTTTTCTCCTTGTTTATTCGGCTTATTTATTTCGCTTTGGCTGCTGCCGTTTTATGCACACTTTTACTTTTACTTTCGCCAACAATTGTCCTTTTCGAGCTGGTATTTGTGGGTCCTTTGTGCGTCATGCAGGTGGAGTCCTTACCGACCCACCCCCCCTTGGAATCAGCGGGGAGCCGTGTCTATTTAAATCGAAGCGAAATCAATTTCGGGACTTGCGTTTTATGCACAAGGCACACATAAAATTCGCGCATGAGGAGCAGGCTGAGCCCCTCCCCGCCACCCCGCCCGTGGCAAAGCCCCCCTTTCTCCCCCCCTCATGTGTACAGACAAGGCCCGGAGTGGTTTCAGTGGCGGATGCATTCACATTCGAGCACATTGTTGACAATTGAAATGTTTTCGAAAGTGTGGCGGGGGGCCTCCTGTTTGAGGAGGCAGGGGCGTGCCTTTTCAGGGGTGCCCACATGGGATTCGCCAAGCCGCAGGATGGAGGGAAACAGCCCCTTTTTGGGACACCCCACCCCAGCCCCTTCGAACGTGAAAAAATAATCGCATTTCCGATTTGTGATTAGCGTGCGATAAACATTCGCCGTCGTCTTCCTTTGTGCGTTTTGTGCTTTATGTGCCGCCGATTTCCCCGCGAACGGCTATATCCCAGACGACCTTTGCCCCATTTAGTCCCCTCCCCACCCTTCTCACCAAGCAACTGCTTATTCTCGTGCTCATTCGAACATAAATATTACACGCTGATTTCAAGTGAATTGAAAACTTTTATTTATTTACTTTTCGCGTACTTCTAAATGCTCGTATGCCCTCGCAAGGGGTCTTTAAATATTCTGAACCGAAATACCCTATTTATTAAAAGGGAAATTTTAATATTCGAAAATAGGGTTTGAGTCCCGGCTAGAATGACCACAGGAAAACTCTCCACCGCTAATCCGCTCTCATTTCCCCTCTCTCGGCCGGACTCTCCACTCCAAGTCGACATCTCCCCTACCACTAGCTCTCGGCCAGTGTCCTGCTGCCGCTCGCCAAGATCAGTATCGCTCGTTCCGCATCTTAAGTTTTCTTTTAATCGCTCTTGGAAATCGTTTTTAAATCAGCTTGCAACCGTTTTGATCGCCGAAAACCAAGCTGATGTCCGAAAGTAAGATATCCTTTGGGTATTCGGTCGGGTTTTCGCGGGTGAAAGTGTTTGTGTGTGATAGTGCTTTTAAAGGTGGCTAGTTCTTATCCTTCTAAAATAATAAAGATAAACTTCCAATACGAATAAAATAATTAAATAGTGATTTAAAATAATAATTATTCAAAAAGTCGCGTCGGTTTCTTTTTTTCGCGTTAGAGCGTCCCTCTTTTCGTTCTCTTTCCGCGTATTCGCGTTCGCGTTCGCGTGTGTGTGTGTGTGTGTGAGAGAGGCTGTGGGAGGCAACCGCTTATGGAGCATCCCCAGTACAGTTGGACAGGACATAGTAACATTAGACTCTGTGGTAAATGCATGTAAATATGAATGTGGAAGGATGGACGAGGATCGCTGTACAGTTGCGCGTGAGTTTCCTTTTCGTTTCTTCTTATCCTTTACACTTGTTGCTTAACCCTTATGAATTCACGTTGGGTTTATTAGCATACATAATTTTATTATTATTATTTATTATTCGTTAATATTATTTACTTATATTTAATTATTTATTGTTTTACCCTCTGGTGTCTTTGAATGGGTTAAAAGTTGGCCCCTTTTCTCCATAAATCCCCACTATTGGGTAGAAACTATTGAATAATTAATTATGAGACTTGTACTTGTATTATTCTTTTAATTTATTACTTGGCCCTTGTCTGATTTTCCCTTGAATAATTTCCCATGCATTTAAATTAATTTATTTAAAAAGCTTTATTTATTTGGAAATGAAATCTCGAAAAATAGAAGGCAAGAGCATATGAGCCTCGCCATCTCCGGGTATTTGACTTCCTCACTGGTTTTCCATTCCTGCTTACTTTTTGCGACGCTTTCTCGTTTTGTTTGATTTCTTTTTTGTTTATGCGGCGATAAAAGTGTCCCCTTCTCCAACACCACCCCCACCCCTACCCCCAAAAATGACGACTTGAATTTTCAATAAAACTTTTCTAGGTGGAGTTCCAGGGGGCTGGCTGGTAGGAACGACGGGAAATGGGGCATTTTTGAATGGTTATTCATAAGCACGCCGCCCGGTCATGAATCAATGCAGAAAGTGCGAAGTCCAAAGGGGTATCGGACGAGCAGGGGCGAGGGGTAAGGGGCACAGGGTGTCCCCGACAAGTGACAGTCATTGTAGCAGAAATTATTCCAACGAAATGTTATCAGTACTCTCTTGAACTTTGGCCCTAGTAACTAACTAACTAGTCATGGGTGCGTGAGTGTGAAAAGTAACAGGAAATGTTAGTTTGAATAAATAAATTATTCCATTGTTCAAAAGCTAGTTGCAAGTGCTAATTTTAATTTAAATCTCCATTAAATATATTATATTTGCATAATTGAGCTGGAATTATAAGTCTTGGGGGTTATCTGGGGAGTGTTTTTTAAAGAAGATCCCTACTACCCATCGCCTCGGGAAATCGACGTGTCACGCTGCCATCTCCACCCCGCCCCGGAACCGTTCATGTTGCTGACGGAGGCGGCAACATTATCGCTGGCAACATTATTCATTATCGTTGGCCAGAAGCGCTCCCCCCCTACCGCCCCTGGCCATTTGAAGTCGGTGACATTGCAACAGATACTTCTGCTCTGCCTCAAGTTTGGACTGTGGCACCCCCGCCCCCGCCAGTGCTGCAGCCGCCCCCTTTCTGAAGTCACAGCTCTGGACAAAGTTTGCGTGCGGTGGACAAAAAAAGGAATAATAAAGGGCCGGGAACACAAAACAGTGAACAGGAAAGAAAAGCCAACCCGCACAGGCGCATGTCAGCTGCGGTCGGCGTCGGCGTAGGCGCCACTGTCGCAGTCGCAGTCGGCGTGGGCGTTGCAGTTAGGGCAGAAAAACTTCCGTTCCGAGCTGTGCCCTGGAAATTGGCAACTCCACTCAAGCGGAAGGATTTCAGGACCCTCGGAGGCCAATGATGTGATTCTCTAAATAACCAGGACAATAAATATGAATGATATAGTGGATGAGCTCGGCCCTGCTGCCCACTACGTTGGCCAGAGATCCGATTTCGGAACCCCAATCCCAAAAAATGAAATCCCCGCAGCCGGATCCTTTTCATAAAAGGTATCAGAAATCAGTTTCATATTTTTAAGTGACCGGTGCAGCTGCAACATTTGGAGTTTTCGCATTTCGTGTGCGGACATATCGCCGCCCCAACGCCCCTCCACCTCTTGCCAGCCCCCCCTCTGCCCTACTGGCAGGACCTGAAAGGGAAGACGGATTTTCGTTGCTGGCCCAGTTGAGCCTTGAATATTTTACATTTATGCAAAAGGCAGGACCGAAAACTATATTCTAAGCGGCCAAGAAGGAGCAGGGGTAGAAGAGCCCACGCCACGCCCCCTGGGCGAAATGTTGCAACTTTGTGCTGCCTGCTGGTTCTGCTGTGACATTTTCGTAGACTTCGCCCTTGGGGGAAGAATGCTAGCCTCTTTAAGAGCCACTGCCAGTTAGTTTGAATTTTTGCGGTGATGCGAGTCGAGATTCGAAACAGAGAACGTGCAACCTTGTGGTTACAACATCGATACTGGGTATTCTATTGATTGGCGATGGGTTTTGCATCGGCATCGGCATCGGGGTTTTCCCGGACTCTTTTCTAGCAATTTCACACCTGGAAAAGCCAGAAAAAGCCAGAGGTTCTGCTCCACCTCCTACCTGGCTTGCTTGGACCTCCACTGGAGCTTCGTTTCTTCCCTACGTTCCCCGCGATAGCCAGCTTCGGGAGGGCAGAGAACCCCTCTGGAAGTGACTCTCTCGATCCCAGTGTAATTAAACATTTGATAACTGCAACAGCAAGCAGCTGCAATCGCCGCTGGAGAGATAAGACGGCAAGCCAGTCTGGGGCGCTTGCCGGGGCTAGTTAGTCGAAGCTGCTAGTCACAGCTTCTAGTTTTATTTTCGTTTTCAACTGGAAGAACGACTGGAAGCGGCAACGGGTTTTCCCTCGGCGCTCGATTCATTCAACAGATCGAAACCCGCCGGCCAATCAATGCAAGTCCGAGTGCAAAAAACGGAAAACAAAAATCAAAATTTAAAAAAACACAAAACAGAAACAGAAACAAGTGGAAAAGCCAAGCTCCAGCGGCGAGATTCCAGATTCGAGATTCGATCTGAGTTCTGAGGGTCGCGTTTTGAGGCCGCGATTGGCAGCGATCAGTTGATTGCAGCCGTCGGGGAAGACAGCCACGCCGGAGTCTATCACTTCTGATCACAGCGGATCCACACAGAGAACTGGAGAAACGGAAACCGGAGAACCGGAAAATGCTGGTGCTGCTCTTTCATCTTCTCCTGGCTGTTCTGGGGGCCCAGACCCAGCTGAGTAGGTTGCTTTGAAAAGACTTATAGCCAGGTTATAGTCTCAATGGTCTCGCTTCTCAACGCTTTCCCACAGAGACCCTGATGCACTTCGGCAACTGCAATACGTCGGAGTACGGCCGGGGCACCTGCATCGAGAAGTCCGACTGCGAGTTCTACGCCGTGGACAAGCTCACTGAATTCGCCAGCAAGCGGCAGTGCTTCTCCCGCCAGCGGCCCGACCTGGTAAGTGTTCGGGGAGCTCCCGGAAGCCGGAAGACTAAGCTCTCTAACCCGAAACCTTCTCTACGGAGCAGGTTTGCTGTCCCCGTGAGACAAACATAATCCCCATTCTCGGAGCCCGAATCTTCAACGAGACCAGCAACAGCGGGAACGAGACCTCCACAACGCCGCTTGCCACCCCCACCCCGCGCACCCTGCTCAAGCTGCTCAAGCTGCTGCCCCGGACCACGCCCCTTCCGCCAACGGGAGCAGATACCCTGCCGCAGCATCCGTATTGTGGCACTTCGTTCGCGTCCCGCGTCACCGGAGGCAACGACACGGAGCTGTACGAGTTCCCCTGGACCACGCTGCTGGAGTACACCCTGCCAGGGGGAGTGAAGGACTTCTCCTGCGGAGCGGCCTTCATCGCTCAGCGCTGGCTGGTGACGGCCGCCCACTGCGTCCACTCCAGGTACACGGGCCTGAAGAACCTCACGGCGGCCCGGCTGGGCGAGTGGAACAAGGAAACGGACCCGGACTGCGTGACCCATCTGAGCGGGAAGCGCGAGTGCGCCCCGCCCCACATCCGCGTGCCTATCGACCGCATCCTGCCGCACGCCGACTTCTCCACCGATACCCTGACCAACGACATCGCCCTGCTCCGGCTCTCCCAGCCCGTGGACTGGGTGCATACGCGGCACGTGGAGCCCGTGTGCCTGCCCCCATCCCAGTCGCAGGGGCCGCCCGTGGGCGCCGCGGCCGACGTCTCCGGCTGGGGCAAGACGGAGACGAGCGAGTCGAGCAAGATCAAGCGCAAGGCCATGCTGCACATCCAGGCAGGGGAGCAGTGCCGCGAGGCCTTTCTGAAGGACGGGTACCTGGTGGGCGATAGCCAGCTTTGTGCCGGCGGCGCACTCGGGGTGGACTCGTGCAGCGGCGACTCCGGCGGACCGCTGACCGTCGAGGCTGACACCCCCGGGGGCCACCGCTTCGTATACCTGGCCGGGGTAGTGTCGTTCGGGCGGAGCAGCTGCGGCAAGTCGGAATTCTCCGGGGTCTACACCCGGGTCAACAAATACGTGTCCTGGATCCGGAACACCATCAACGAGAACCGCGGATAGGCGCCCCAAGGACGAGGAATATTTTTTTTTATATTTTATTGAAATGTAACTAAGCCACGCAATTATAGTCCTTGCAAGGAGTAGCGACTTTGAGGCCAAAGGACACCTGATTGCAAGAGGAGTGTGAACTCTGAGGAATTATTTTATTATCGAGTGGCAGCGATGAGGAGCTTCCAGCTGGAGCTTCCCAGGAAGCCCCCTGCCATTGTATGCAGTGTAGACAGACTTGGTAAGCCGATCCAAGTGCATCCGTAAGTTTGGCTTTTCCGGAAAGTTTTCCGGCTTGCAACCACCCGCTATTCGATTCGATTCTGTGGCGCCTTTTTTTCGAATCGAAATTGAAAATGCAGCAGTCCTGGATCCGTTTGGGGCTCGGTTTGTTTTCGATGCAAACTAGGCGGCTAGATGGATAGATGGATAGGTGGGTCGGTTGGTCGGTTGGTGGGGTTCTCTTTCCACAGCCCTCCCCTTTTTTCATGTGTAATCCGATTGGCAGAGCGAGGAAAGTGAAATGTCTGGGAACGTCATCATCAAGCGGAGGATTTCGATTCTTTCGGCTTTGTGTTTGCCCATGAAATTGAAAACAGCCGCAAATTAGAGGGCGAGACCGAAGAAGAAATAATCGATAGTTCGGCAAGGCGGAGGCCGTTGACCGGCGGACAGGTTCCGGCGAGTGCCCGGCGAGTCCGGTTGGGATTTCCATTAAAGCCAAGACTTAGGTCTCCAGGACTCTCGTAGGAGGATTCGCAATCCCAGGACACGGCGTTTGTTTAACAAATTTGCTGCCGCTGTTGCTGGCCATTAACACTGCCTGCCGGAGATATATCCGCCGTATACGTGTCCGTGTTTGTGTCCGTGTCAGTGGCCGGGGGCTGGAAGCTGCGCACCAGAGGCAGGATATCCGGAATTTATTTCGCTCCTCCCCCCCCATCCCCGTTTCGGTCTTCGAGGTTCGCTTTTTTATGCAGCGTCCCCTCCGCAGAGCCCCAAACATATGCCGGCAAATTCAAATGGGAAATGAGAGAGATTTTTATCGTATCGCACCATAACGCATAAACTCGGCCAACACGAAAATCCATTTTATCATCTTATTATTATATTTATTTATTTTTTGCGCTCGCTGCTCTCTTTGTCATCGCTTTTGTGTACATTTTGTTGCTTATTTGGGGGGAGGGGCTGCCAGGGGGCTGGGCGGCAAAGCAAACTATTAAATAAAATGCTGTTTGGCCTGCTCGTCGCTTGTGATTACAGGACACGGCCCATTAGAGGTCGTGGCTGGGCGGGTGGATGCATTCGGCGTTCGGTGAAGGGACTCCCCAACAGGTATGATGGCCTGAAAGATCCCCAACAAGTACGAAAATATTTTTAAAAGAAAATTGCATTTTTTTTGGAGAGCTTCCCCAGGGTATTGAAGAGTTCATCATCTTCTCGGTGAGGGCTTTAATTTGTTCCTCTTACGACAACGGAGCAGTTTATTGTTGCTGGCGGTGGGCGTGGCGGAAATTAGTTTTTTTTGTTCCGCTCTCAAGGACCCACATCCTTGGGCTTTTGTCATTAAAACGGCGAGGTGAAAGCTTTCGGAAATAAGTAATTGTTGTGCTGTTACAGGTAATTTCCTCTAGGGCCCGGATTAACCCCCATTGATAAAAAGCAAAAGAGACGCTACCCTCGTATATTTTTATATATTTTTTATATTTTCGTATATTTGTTGTCCTCATATACATACATATATTATTATTACTGTTTGGTTTCGTTTTCGGTTTTGGTTTAGTGTAATTATGTATATATAATGTGGCCTGCAATCTTTATACACATGTCTGTCCATATAATCGAGGGTTTCGACCAGCTCCTTCACAACGAGGAGCCGAAGGCCCCCTTTCTACACTACACACTTGGTGTTGCTTTTGTTTCCTTTCGCTACTTAAATCTTTAAACATACAAAGCATTTAGTTGGTTTCACTATGTGATGAATAATAATCGTATATACTGCATTACGCTATATGGGTTCGTATGTCACTATATATAGGATTATTTTATTCGGTTTCTCGGTGGAGTTCCTCGAAGTCTAGAAGGTCGAGAAGGCTGCTCCAAAAAAAATACTTTACGCCATATTTGTATAACGATGTCTACGCCGCTAAACGAACTCTATATATATACTCTATATATATATACTTTAATGGGTTTAAACCTTATGTAGTTGCAGTAGATGCCAGCCATCCCAGCTTGATGGAGTGGCTGACCCAATATTTATTTGTTTTTGTCCGGCTTGGGTCTGGGGTCTGAGTCTGGCGGTGTGTTTTTTTCGATTCGATTTGGTTTTAGTTTCGGTTATGGCTCTGGTTTATTTCTGGGCTTATGTGCAAACAAGAAATCAGCGGAATTTGCCGAACAATCAGCGAATTGTGAGCACCGAGGCTCTACCGGCTCTCGGCCCAATGTGTTTGTGCGAATTAAACAATTTTTGCCAAATTGAAATAAAAAAATTTGCGGCCCGGCCCGGGTCCTTTCCTACCTTTGCCTTTGCTACTCTATTATTTATTTATGTGTGAAATGGAAGCCAACCTCCTCTGACCATTTTTAATCTATCTAGCGGGGGCGAGAACACTGAGAAAAATGGGAGGAAGTTATGGGAAAAACCCGTCTTCCAAGAGACATCCCTTTGCCCAGCCAGGCTGCCTGGCTCTTTTTTCGATCAGTGTTGGGCAAATATTTGATTTGGCAATCAGTCGCAAATACAACAAATTTGCCGCAAAAAGGGGTGGCAAGCAGGTGGCAGCCAGGTGGAGGGCAGGTGGGCGTGGCAGTCCCTGTGTCAAATGCACGTCACACACACGAGCATTTCAAAGTGCGAAATGAAAACACGGCGGCGACCGAAACGCGTTACAAAATGTTAATTTGCAGCGACACTGGCTAGGGTCATGGGGCAGACGGGGAGGGGCAGGTGAAGCTGTGGCAGGTGCCTCACTTGACCACATGCAGCAGCTTTGTGCTCCACAGGCATTAACAAACAGCAGCAGCAGTAGCAGCGGCAGGGGCAGGGGCAGTAGCAGTGGCAATGGCAGGGGCAGAGGGGGCAGAGGCAGAAACAACATTTGCAATCAGTCGCCGACCTACAACAGCAACAGCAACATCTACGGCAACGGCAGCAGCGGCAATAACTTGATGATGACGATGATGAGAAACCGCTAACACCGACCGAGCTGCAACCAAATGACCAATGAGCCAACCACTGCCCACACACACGGATGGAGGGAGGGCGGAGCGGGGACATTCCATGTGTCAGAGCAGCTTGTGGCTCGTTATGCCGCTTGCCAGTATTCCGGAGGAAGCTATGCCCGACTGGGAATGAGCTGAAACTCTGAGGATGGATGTATTTCGAATAATGAACGCGAATTCCAAAGGCGCCTGTCCTGATAATACGGAGTAGGTCATTATACAGAGAGGAGTTCTTCAGGATAATGATATAGGCTCGATCGCTAAAGGGTCATTTTAGGATACCGATACCAAGAGAGACCCTTTCAGCTGCGCCTCTTCAGAAAAGGACACTTTCCAGGGTATCCCTAGTCCGGCAGCAGCGCCCACTCGCCCGACTGGACACTGGCTGCTGTCGTTCGGTCAATGTTGATGCTGATAAGTAGCAAAACATGGGGTCGCCTGTAATTATGCGAGTGTTGCAAGTTAATTGCAATTGTGTGCAACTGACGGTAGCGAGATTAATTAAATTCATCCCATGCACGCCTCCCCCCTGCCGCCATCGGACTCCATCTCCGCAGGAATTCCCAGCTGCAGGACACTCTCGTCCTGGCTGCCATCACTCAATGCCAGGACAAGGCAATGGGGACAGTCAATCTGTTTATTTGCTTATCCCCCCAGCCCCCCAACCCCTCAACCACTCTCCGCTGCCATGGACACGCCCGCAGACAGTCGCAGGGGGCGGCGTGGGCGTGGTTTAAAGTTCACTAATTTCATGCACACACACACACACACCCACACACATGCATGCACTCGCCGGCACTTGTGTTAGTTAAGTGATTTATTGTCGCAAAATTGTCATTATTAAAAATTAATGATGTCATAATTAAGTGTGTGCGCTGGTGCTGCTTTTATTGTAAAATGATTTACATGGCGGAACATTAGCTGCTCTGGACATTTTAGCTGCGCAAATTTATGAACTGCAAACTGCAAACTGTGAACTGTGAACTGCAAACAACAAATATGCTCGATTCAATTTCCATAATTTCCATAATTTAATTAGTCGTGTGTGGAACGGGGCGGAGATCTGAATAGTTGGGGGAGGCCGTGGAGGAGGGCTCTTCGCCGATTTGCATAACTAGTTGCTGTGTGCTCGCTCATCTGCCGGCCGAACAAGAACGGGATATGGTAATACTTCCAGGAAGTCGACAGATCCGGGACAAGACGCTCGTTCCAGTGGAGGTGTGAAGGCAGGCCAGGCCATATATCCATTATAGAGCGTCCAACGCCCCAGCCCATAAAAAATGAATGGCTTCGAATTTGTCACTCTGGCGAATTGCGAAATTTGCAGAATGGATGGCCCGCCCCTCCAGCCCTCCAGACCTCCAGACCCCCGGTCCAATGCCCCCAACTACCAACTGCCAAATGTATTGAAAATAATCACCGAAATGGCCAATAGCCGAAATGGCCGACTGACTGCATATGCATGGAAATGAAATGATGTAAAAAGACTGCTCCTCGGATATACTACATGGTATGTGCATAAATCTTGCTGCCTAGCGTTGCACACTTTTTATGGCGCCGATAAAACGCTACCACCAAAGGGGTTGGGGAGGAGCAAAAGTGCTGAGGCCATCACGATACCCTGTTGCGGAGGAGAGTCGCCTCGACCCGCAAATAATAAATGAATTAAAAGGCTTAACCCACTCGCCGACCGCTCCGGCTCTCGGTTGGGGTTTTATGGGGTTAATTCGGAGTCCGAATGAGTTGGAAGTCTGCGGTTTTGTGCCATCCTGCCATCGTGACTGCCTTCCTGCCAATATGTGTCAGGTTAGCCCTCGTCTGGACCGATGCAGTGGTCAGTCCGCCCCTTTTCCGGCTGGGAGCCACAAGTGCAGCATAACTTCGTGCACAACTCACCGCAAATCAGTTTGGCCAGAGTTGCCAACCCGCCAGCCCGCCACCCCGACTTCCCGACTCCGGGCGGGGGTCCAAGCCATTTGATTGATTGAAAGTCAGCCAGAGTTGTTGCCGAGTTTTGTTGCGAAATGCTGATTGACTTTGCCATGCCCTGGTCGAGCTAATTAGGTCGTAAAACAGCCATCGAGACTGTGAATGGGGAGATGTTTCATGGCTTTATGGTTTGGAAAATGAAAAATGGGCTGGCCCGAATTCTTGCCGCCAAATAGTTGAGCCATCGAGATGTGTTCTAATCCCAGCCCTCGCTGTTATAGGGTATCTGCCCCCGCCAGCAGCCAGCAGCCAACAGCTGCTGTTTGTGATTCCTCCAATAAATAACCAATGCAACGTATTAATTCAAGTCATAATTTCCCATTGGCAAATGGCAAATCCCTCGGTGCACAACCCGGAATAAAGCAAAACAAAATAAACCCGAAACAAAGCCGGGAACAACGCGAGCAAAACTGGACTGCAACAAAATGAAACAAAGAGCTCGAAAAGTTTCAGCTGAATGTGAAAAATATGCACTGAATAAAGGCAACTGCGGAATGTCAGCTTGTGCAAATAATGCAAAAATATTTATACAAATTATTATGTGATTTTGCCGGAGAGGGCTTAGGAATGGGTCTCGAGTTCGGGCTCGGCATTCAGGGCAGTCCAGCCCAGCCCCCGAAAAGTTTTGCAGCTTTGGGCCGCGTGGCGTATACGTAATCATTTTCCTTTCGGCCATTAAAAAGTTGATTTTTATGCAGCCCTCCATCCGCCCTCCACTCGCCGCCCCCCAAAAAACCCAAACCGAAGCTGCACTTTCGTATTTAAACGTGATTTTAAATAACCACAACAGATTTTGTGGTTTCATGTTGCATTTGCCGTTCGATAAGGGACAGGCTGACGTTCCCGGGTGGGTTGCCAGTCCTGGTTGTCCTGTTTGTCTGGGCTGTCCTGGTTGAGCCGGTTGATAAGGTTCTCCCCGGGTTACACAAGCCGGAGGGAGGGTGTGGCCGGGGGGCGCGGCACACTGCGATGGCAACTGCGGTCAAGTGCATTTAAAATGCAAAATGCACGCATTTGCGGCAACACTGCCACACTGTATCTACATCGGGATTATGTGTTAAAAACGGCCCGAAATTCATAATTTTAAAATTGCATTTAAATGTTTGAGAGTGTTAAGCCCCAGCAGGGATCCTTGTAGCTCTTTTTTGGTCAAAAGCCCTAAAAAAATGATCCGAAAACCAGCCGCAAACCGTCAATAATTGATGTCCTTTTTTGACATACACCAAGCACACGCCCCAAGCCCGAGCCTTCTATACACACGATTGGGGGGAAGTACAAATAACGTCCTACAGGAAGTCCTAGGTCCCCCGATCTTAGTCTGGTTACTTTTGTTGGGTGGGCTTTGCAGCATATTGAGTCTGCAATATCTGTATTTTGATCTTTTTTCACATTGTTTGTTTTTTGTTTTGTAGCCTAACTCTTTAACTTTACAGTATTTAGGTAGTAGGGATTGCGGTAATAGATATGCCGGTAGTTATGATTCTAATTCGCTATTGTTATCGGCACTTACGCTAGGCATACACTTAAAAAAACCTTTGACTACAATCAAGGTATGATTGATTTGTTTCTTCTAGGGCGTCCGAGGGCTTGACAAAAAAATGCACATTTAATGCTAATTATCGTAACTGTAGTCGCTATAAATACTTTCCTTTCCTTTCTTCTTCATCGCCTACGAATGAGTGTGTGTGTGAGTGTGTACGTGTGTCTGTGTGTGTTTCCGGTCGCCATTGTGACCATGTCGTCTGCTTCCGGCAGCGACCCATCTGCCCTTTCTTATCCTTTTTCTCCTTCTCCGTTTTCTATATGTATGTTTAGTGGAAGCTCCTGTTGCACGCCTTACGTCGCTCGCTGCTTACGTCATACGCTCACGATACATTACCCTGCGTAACGTCACGTCACGCAGTTACGTAACTGACTCTTAGTTTTGTTTCCAACTGGTGGCTGCGCAGAGAAAGAAAAGAAAGGACCGACAGTTTAGATTTAATGTGAAGTGGAGCCCTCCGTCCGGAGCTCTAAGACCCTACGTACCTTTGTAGTACACCTCGCGGTACATGGTGGGGCAGGCGGCCTTGCCGTTCGCCTTCGACGTCTTGAAGTCAATGTTCGTGCGGATGGGCCGGTGCAGGAGCGGCTGGGGCGGCCGGTAATTGTTGCCCAGGGGCGCCTTCGGGTGGTCGGGGCTGCCCTGCATCAGGCGGCGCAGGGCGTGGAGCTGCAACGGAAGATTTGGGAAATGGGGTTTCAAAATGAGGCCTCCAAGCGTTGGGCCACCACTGCGTATGAGTAATATCTAGGGTCTTTGGTGGAATAAGTCGTGCAGGCCCTGTTGTCTGCCAAGCACCCGCATCCTTCAGACGCGGAAGTAGATCAACTGCGGCCCAACAATAAGCCAGCAGAAGGATAATCTCAACAGCCCTTCCCCAGGATCTAACGTTCATAATTATAAGCACTGTGGCAGCGGAGCATCGATTTCCCGCTGGCTAAAAATCACGATTGACACAAATTGCAAATCCTAAAAATAAGAGCCTCCCAGCCGGGCTAAAAACTGCGGAAAGGACCTTCCCAGGCGCACTGTCGTGCCTGTATACAAGGACCGCAACAAAAACAAGGACACCGACAACGACAACGACAACGACAACATCGAGTCAATAACACTTAATCTACTCAATCTGTTTATCAATTGACTTCCGTCAAAATCGCTTTTCACGACAACATGGCCGGGTTGAAGTTGATTGAGGACGGCCGGGGCGGTTGCGGGGCGGGGCGGGGGAGTCCGGGCCTGGTGGGCGTGCTGGGCGTGCCCGCTCAAGTGTAAATTAATCCCCCCGTGTGTGTGTCGTGTCCCGACAGCCCCGAAAGTATGCAACACTAAATGGCACTCAAGGCATTAAAGCCCTTCTCGGGATGGATTGTGGTCGTTCGCTCATTGAGAGGTCCATTAAAAATTACACTTTATGGCCAGAATTATTTAAATCCCCACTCGGGGGCTCCTAGTTGGTTTCTTTCCGTGTAAGGATCCCCGTTATCTAGCCACTAATCTTAATCCTTCAGTCCTGCCTACTAGACTGTAATTTAATTCGGCAGCCGTGACTTTGCAGCGGTGCATTATCCTCGCCTTTAACCCTTTCCGACGTACGTTAATGGGTTAATTGCAATTTCAGCTCGCACAGCTTCCTCTTCCGTGTGCCTTTTTGACCGCGCCCCCTCCTCCTTCACTCTCGCCACCCGCTCTTCCCGATGGTGTTACTTTAATTTGGGAAATTATGTTTTGCCAGCAAGGTGCAGTGTCTGTCTGTCCCCAGCCCCAGCCCCGTCTCTGTCAGGGTCCCTTGCTATTGCTCCTGCTCCTTTCTCCTGCTCTTTCTCTTTCTCCGTGTGCAGCCACTAAATTACATCGCAAGAGCGGGAGCATGGAGAAAAGTGGAGTCCTCCACGGCTGCCACAAGTTGTAATCATGTGCCCATGGGTGCCATTGAGCTTGTTGAAGTTTTTATGAGTCTGCCGACTGCAGTGTGTGCTTTCGCTTGTGTCTTTCTCTTTCTGCCACTGCCACTGCCACTGCACCTCCTACTTCTCTCCTGTTCGCCACGTTTACATTGTTTACACGTATGCCGCTGGCCACCATTCAGCCACGCCCCTGCCCCTTCTACTGCCACTGCCACTGCCCCCGCCCCTTATGGCGTCTTTATTACAGCGCTGCACTTAATAAACATTTGTGTTAAATTTTTTCCCTCCATTGCTATCTCCTCTTGGCCCCCACTCCCCCATCCCCCTCCGTCTGCATCCTTTTATCCTGCCCCATCTGTATGTGCGCTCCTTTGAGTTATGGACACTATCCACTTTGTTGCTCCTCCAGCAGCGCAACTTAATTTAAAACTTAAATGAAATTAGCTAATAAAACAGACAGGACAACAGACAGTGCATTCGCAAAGGACGACGACGCTGTCCAGGAGCAGGAGCAGGAGAAGGACATCAGAGCACTGTATACTAATTAACAAACATTAAGGTGGTCATCACTCAAAATGGTTGTCCTTTTTTCGGGAAGCGGGCACTTTGGGAATTTGGCTCGAAGAGAAAGTCGTCCTCGAAGTTTTTCCTTCTTTTTGTAAGAAGGATGGCTTTGAAACTCACCTGTTGCTTGGTGATGTAGATGGGCTTGTTCAGGACCACCCAGGTGACTGTCTCGTGGCAGGCCGGTGCCGTGGTGGAGCCGTCGTAGGTCATGTAGTGGTCCGTGTCCGGGAGCAGGCCCCGGATGGAGAGCCGCTTCACGAAGGCCTCGTCGCCCCCGTACCGGATCCGCTCCAGCTGATCGGTGAGCATGCGCAGCTCCGGATTGGAAAGGTCGCCTAGCTGTTAAATGAAAGGTTTAGGGAGGGGTTAGAGGTCATACCCAGCAGCGATCTCTTCGGAGGACTCACCTGGAGGAGAATGGAAACGCCGACGATGCCCTGGGCGCGGTTGAGGGCATCTGAGAAGTTAGCGTACAGCTGGGAGTTGTAGCCGAATATTTGTATCTGCCGGAGAAATTGGAGGAAAAAAGTGCACTCAGTAAAGGGATGAGATCAAAAGACGGTCCGCCCTATCCTTTGTGTTCTTGTGTCTTTGTGTCCTTTTGTCCTGTGGGTGTGTGTGTGTGTTGCGGACAAACTTTATTGTTGCTCAATTTAAGCCGAAACGCATACAAAGTGCGGTGACAGGCCACCCACGGAGGAGGCGGAGGGCATGGTCGCCTTGTTTCGCATAAATTGCCCCAAAAATAATCCCAACTATCAACAAAGTGCACACACAAATGCAAATACGAGTGCAGCCACACAAACACTAATGCACGTGGGCAGGACGAACAGGACCGACAGGACGAGCATTTGCCGGGAAGATCGGCCAGCAGAAACAGCAAATATTTTGCTTTTGGCCAAGACACCACCAGGGCCAAGACGGGGACGGTGCGGCTAAGCCCTTCTGATGTCCATCTCTCCTGCCCTTCTGGCCTCGTCCCTTCACACCCACACACCCACATGTGCCTTTGCACTTGTGTTTCACGTCAACACAGCAAAACGCCTACAGGAAGCAGGAGTCCACCGGAGGAAGGGACACAGGAGAGCGGAGAACGGAGAAAGGCGAAAGGAGAAAGCAGAACGCAGAAAGGAGCAGGCGACACCACAAAATGAATCCATAAACAAAAGCGCCTGGCGAGGGTCGCTTCCAGAGTTATCCTTCGGCGGTTATCGGTTTTGGGAAGTCGATCCAACAATTGCAGATATTTTTGATGAAACTCCCCTTTCAAAACCCTAACCGAATCATTCCCTTTCCTCGAATACTTAACTATTTAAGGGGCTTAGGACTTCTCTGTTTATTTCTGGTTTTAGGCGAAATATTTTATTTTATTTATCGAATATCTGTAGCGAATTTATCGAGCGGCCTCCCTGCAAATATTTGTGAGCTTGTGTAACATGTGTACACGGATTTTCGGGGGGATTGCGGCCAGGGATATGTTTGTTTCTCCGTGCGACTATTTATATGAGTGTCGGTGAGTGTGGGTGTGAGTGTGAGTGTGTAAGTGTGAGTGTACTCACACCATTGCGAGTGCACTCGCTGGCTGACCAGGCTCAGACGCACGGAGCGGAAGGAAATGCTGCAGACAGCAGTGAAAATAATAATAATAAGAGCAGAGAGTACAAAGCACACACATGCAGCGGACGAGAGGTGTGGGGGGCGTAGCCGTAGGCACTGGGCAGTTAATAGCTGTCCATGGCCTGCCCCACTCCACACTCCACACGCCCCACTGCCTCCTCCTCGTTTCGGAACTTTTCCTCTTTCCCGGGAAGAGGGATGCCGTGCATTCAAATATTAAAAACTACGTTCTGCAATTTTAATGTGTGCCCAGAATGGCAAATAAAAATTAAATTAAATTAAAATTTTCCCAAAAAACACCCTTGCCAGCCTGCTTGGCGAAATTTCAATTGCCAGGGGTGCGGGCTGGGGGCTGGGGGCTGTGGCAGCCACTCGGCAAATAGAACTCAAAACTTTCGATGCACAAATGAAGAACTCACACAAGATACAGTCGGGGGCAGAGGCGAACATGCTGGGGAGCTGGGTTCCCCCGATCTTGACGAGGTGCTGTGCTGTCGAAACGCACTGTTTCCGGGGTCTGTTCTGCAGATGGTATCGGGGCGTTTCGGGATGGAAATAAAATTTTGACGAGACCGTGTGGCAAGCTGAAGACTGTGGCCGAAAGGAGAAAGCGATTTCGGGGCGTTAACTGCCTGGCCGAAATGTAAATGGCAAAACTGGGAAAAACTACTAGGAGCTGAGAAACTGGGAAGCTGAGAAACTAGAGCCACACAGCTACGCCACTTGAGCAGCAGATGGCGCCACTGAGCAGCCAGTTTCCGGTAGTTTTTGTTGGGTAATTAAAAATTTGTTTGGGCGGAGAAACAAAACACACAGAACTTGGATAGCTCCAGAACTCCGGCTCAGCTATTGATTCAAAACGAACTCCCCTGGCTCCCCTGGGGGTTCTCTGCGAGTTTATGTATAAATTAAAGTCGGAAGTCGAGTCGGAGTGCAGACTGAAATATTATACTCTAAATAATGAATGGCCCACGTCGGACAAATCTCTTTAATGCCTATCGCACCTCTGTCCAGGGTCCTGGCGGGAGGTGTTTGCTGTGCAAATACGACAACACAATTTTACAATATTCGACCGCAAACTAAAATGTTGTATTTCCGTTTCATTAAACAGCCAAAGCCCCTTTGGCGAGGAAAGCAAACACACGACAATAACGACAATAACAATAGCAACAACTCCTGATACAAGGAAAAAGGACAACAACACGTAGTGTAAGTACCAGCAAATAGCCGGACAACAGGCCGCCTGATACGTAAAGAGCCAAAGCCTAAGCGGTTTCGTCCTTCCTACTCCCCCTGCTGCCGCTTCTTTCTGCCCGTCCCGGCCCGGCCTCTGCTCCTCAGTGCCTCTCCTCCGGTTTGTTTGTTTGAACAAAGCAAGCTCCTGGCATATTTCTTGCCCCACACACTCACTCTGCCACAAACGCGGGCAAACAAACACACACGCAGAGCAAAGGCAACTTAATCAGATCAATTACACATGTTTTCACTGCATGGATTCCACGTCCACATGCACAGACACAGAGCCCGGGCTCAGGCCTAGAAGAGGCCCGTAGTCCGAAGTCCGATGTCCGCAGAACACTCCTCCGAGCCCGCACTCTGTAGTCCGTAAGCCCCCACCCCACAGTCTACACTGGGGGAAAGTGCGGAGTTGCTGCTTCGGCAGCTGGAAAAAAGAAACAGGTCAAGGGTCAGCCATTCTCCCGACTTGATGCATTCCGCTCCTAATCAGCCCACTGATTTCCGGGAGAACTCCTTGTGCCTGTCCCTCTTGTTCCTTTTCTCCCAGTGCACTGGAGTCCTGAGCCCAACGAGCTGACAACGGGAGACAGAAAAGCAGCAAATACACCAGCTGCTGAAACTTTGCCTGGCCAGTAGTCCGGGATAGGATAGTGTTCCCTGCCCCCACAGTCCTGCCACCAGCAGGCGCCCCTGCCCCAGACAACAAGCCGAGCAGAACAGTGGGACGAATCAGTAGATTCTATGACTTGATTCTCCAAAAACAAGATCATAAAGTATCACTTATTATAAGATTGAAATTGAAGATATATGACTCTATTGATTCATCTTCCTACTACCTCTCATTGTATAGGATTTCTCAGTGAGTCTCTTGGTTCAATCCCTCTCCCAATATGCCCCACTGTGCGCAAACAGTGTAGCGATTTGCTGTGGAGTCGGTTTCTGCTCGGGCTGGAGGACGAAGCGGAAGGAGTGGTGTATCCTTCTTGGCCCTTCAGCCGGTTGACTTGGCTTTCGTGCTCTGCTGGCCAGCCACGATAATATTGGCCATGGCCAGAAGCCGGTTTAGGCTGGGAACACGGCCTCATGTCAACACTTTGCCGCCTGTGCCTGCCTCCTGCCACTGCTGCCGTTCCTGCCGGTCCTGCCGCTCCTGCTGTTCCGTATCCTTTGGTCTGTGTCAATTTTCTAGACAAATGAAGCAAATTAGCCTAACAACGCACTGGGGACGATGTCCAACACGCACACACATCCATCCAGGCAGTCTGCCATCCAACCAGCAGGACTAGCAGCAGAGGCGTAGGGAGCTTAGATCGCTCCATTTCTGGCCACAGTTTGTCATTGTCCTTTTACAGCCACGTCCCCACTTGTGCACTTCTCCCGGCAGCACTCTCGGCTAATTATCCGCAACACTATTTGCATCAGCAAACCGAAAGATGGCCAGCTCCGAAGATTGAAAAGTGCGTGGTAGTGGAAAGGGATCCCCTTCTCCACGCTATTGAGCTTTAATCCCGAAACCAGGAACTTTAAGCATCAGCCAGCCAGTGGTCTCCCCACCTGGCCGACTCACCGACCCACCTGACTCGCCTTAATCCAATGAGCGACTTCACCAAACTCATTACCCGCCCACCGAAATTCACTTAGCCCTTTAACGACTTAGTGGCGTTTAAAAACGCCAGCGGATGGGAGGAGGCCGGGCGGAATTAACGCGCTTTAATCGCTGGTTGGTCTTTAAACGGATTTCCACAGGGGGGCCGGAGACAAAGGGGTTACGGTGGCTTAATAGGGTGTCCGGGGTGGGCGGGGTTAAACGGGGTTGGGGCCTGCTTTGGAGGGGTTGCTGAAATTACAGCACGACCTCATTAGCAGCAAATATTTTGGCGTTGCGCTCGTTTTTGTTCAGTCACTCGATGTCGCCCCTCCCTTTCCACTCCCTCTCCTACACCACGCTCCCGCCCCCCCTGCCATCCGACTCCTTTGTTTGTGTTTGTGTGCAGAGCACAGATAGAGATATAGATACATTTGTATATTTAAGTACTCGATGGTTGGAGCGCAAATTAATGGTTAAGCCATCGCTTCGCCATTGCGATGGCTGGTTGTGTCGGTCGTTTTGGGTTGTCCGTGGTTGGCAACCGCAAAATGAGGTGGGTAAGGGGTGGGGCCAGTGGGCAGGTGAAAGGCAAATGGGGAGTCAGCGGTGAGCGCCCAGGGCAGCCTCGGAGCCCGTCAAGAATCGGGGAAATGGCACGGCTCGATAGTCCGGATCACGCTTCCATCTCCAATTCATCGGCCACAAGCAACGGTGATTAAATTCTCGCCACAAGGCAAGTGCTAAACTACCGCGGCCCAAAACAAATCAAACTCAAAACCAGGCGGGCATGCATTGGAAATAGAAATAACGCACTTGCAACACCCAGCCATCCAATCCCCCCGCCTCCAGCCCGGAAAGGCCTACCAATTTGCCACCTGCCACTTGCCACTGACTGGGACTGGGACTGAGGCAGTGGCAGCCTCTGCGGCATCCAATGACAACGGGGCTGCCGAAATCCAAGACTGCGCTGCAATCTTGTGCGGATTTCATGGGGATTAATTAAAATTGCCAATTACGAATTCATTAAGGCAGATCAAATTCCGAGGCGCGGCCATTAAGGCGGCTTCTGCCACGGCCGGAATGTGTACGGAATGTGCTTAACATTGTCCGGACTCTGGTCTGGATTCCAGAGGCCGTTCTCAGTTCATCCGTAAAATGGGCCCGAGCACCGGAAGGGTATTATTCCAAGGGGTAGCCAGGCTGAGCTGAGCTCTATTGGCAACTTACATATTATCCAATCTAAACAGTCTGAAAAGTATCTTTTAATGAGAAACAAACTTGCCACTGCAACTTCATCTGTGTCAACGTCTCCACTCCGTTGCTGCTCCATTTGAATCAAAACTCGTTAAGAAGTGCTACTTGTTCCCGAAAATGCATTCCGTTTCTTGCTCTCTGGCTGCGATTGCTTGTCACTCCTGGGGATGGAAATCGAGAAAGCGACTGGCAGCCTGATTCGTTTTAAATCACCCGGACACTGTGAGAAAAAAGTGAGGTAGACTGTCTCCCCTGACTGGGGGGAGACGGAGTAATTTAACCAAAATACACGATGGCTTACATTACCCGCCATCGTTTATCATCGGCTCATCGCCGGGGGGAGGGGCTCTAATTAATTTGCGCTGACATTGGTGGCCCCCCGACGGGGCAGGGGCAGGGGCTGGGCGCGGGCATCCGCCAACTGCTGACATGCAACAGATTTATAACGTTATTGCAGCTGCAACTGCAACGGCAGCTGCCGCCCGTTGTGGCAGCTTTTTGCGTGTGGCAGATGTGGCTCACTTCTGACTCTTGATTGCCTGGCGGAGCCCGGCCGAGCCCGGTGGAGAGGAGAAAGGAAAAAGGACGAGACAAAAGCGCCACACGATGCAAATGGAAATGAAAACTGTGTCGCACATCACTCAGGCCAACTCAACTCCAGTCAACTCAACTCGACTCAACTCGAGTCAAGTGGCCGAGGAGCAGACAGCCCCACGACAGGATTAGCCCCTCGGGGACAAAGGGGGAGAATGCTCTTTTCTTTGCTTCTTTTCTCCGGGTGAAAGGTCCTTAAAACGGAGCTTGATTTAGGGAGCTTAACAGGACACCACGGCCGACAGTGGGGTATTTATGAGATCCAAAATCATTAACCGACCGAGTGCGCCAATAATTGGCCAGCATTTTTGTCCTGGAGGGAGCCACGAGGTCACTGAACAAGGAGGCAATAAATAAGCAACCGACACAAACAGAACGCCAGCCTTTGTCTAATTCCAGAGTCCTCGGGGGTCCTTCGGCCCCCTTAAAACGCGGAGCTGCGCGTATTTACATATTTTTAATAACGGGCTCGCAAATCAACTGGAGCGAGCTTCTGTGTGTGAACTTGACATCAAAATGAACAGAGCACCGAGCCCCGAAAGGTTAAATCATATTTGACAAACAGCAAACAGGTGCGGCGGGGGAGGCCGTGGGGTGGCGCGGTGGCGACAACACGCATGTGTACATTCCTGGAAATTCGGATGCGGGGCGGAAGGCCCGGGGAGGGGACGTGCAGACAAGGTGTCTGAACGAGTCGCAACAACGCCTGCCATATGACACATAAATATGGCCAGCCCCAGCTCCAGCTCCAGCCCCAGCCCCAGCCCCAGCCCCAGCCCCCGAAAACAATGTGCAAATAAAACAATACAAAATCATCAGCCGGCAGCAGGTCCCCCAAGTCGGGGCAGGGCGCTTTCCCAAATCATTTACGATTGTAGGAGAGATGCAGAAATCACGGAGAAATCATTTTAAAATTTAAAAGCGTATGGGTCACATGTTAAAAATATTTAGAAAGAAACTAAGCCTGAAAACAAGCAACAATGGAGGAAGAAGGCGCAGGCCAGCTCCATTTTATTTTTATTCTCGCCGAGTCCGGAAAAGTGTGAATGATGTGCCCGGGGGACAAGTGGGGGAGAAAGCGTGGGCGGAGGCAAATCAAAGCTCCAGACAAGTGGGGCGAGTTTCCAACATGTTGAACCTGCTCCAAGTCAAAAGCGTTGATGATAACGTTGAGGACACCAGACAAAGGATCCGGCGGCAGGGACGATGACGGGTATGGAGACGGAGGTGGAGGCGGAGACGCAGACGAAGGACTCTTGACTTTTTTGACTTTGTTATTTATTTTATTTTCTTCTTAGGAGCCTCGGTGTCTCCGTCTCATTTTTGTGTTTTTTGTCAGCGACAAATCGACATTTGCTGCATTAAATGCTGATCAAATACACTTCCGCTCGTTTATCTGGGTAAATATTTGAACGGACCAGGGGCGTCCAGGGGCGGAGAGGGGACTAACAAGCTTACAATGCCAGGAGGAAGAATACCAGAGTGCCGGGATGGCTGTGAAATGACGCAAGAAAGTTGAAAAACTCCGACGACTCGCACACAATTGAATTGTTAAAGAGGGAAATCTGTTGACAGGCAACCGAGAACCGAGATTCCGCACCGAAATAGAATTGAACAAAGTGTCAGAGAAGCGTCCCGAATCCACACCCACACCCACACTCGAACCCACACCCCACCCCCTCCACCATAGAGAAATGGAGAGTGACACCACTCCTTACCTCCGCCGGGAACGTGTACCCCTCCACACTGTGCTCCGATCCGAATTGGTCGTTCAGCCCGTAGTGCATGTGGATTTCGTGGAACCGGTAGCGGTACGAGAGCGGTCCGCCCGAGATGTTCACCGGGGTCTGCATTCCGTCGTAGTTGGCGACCGTATCATTTCCTGCCGTGAAGATAACGCTGTGGCCCGTGTTGGTTATCAAACCGGATATCTGAAAGGAAAAGAGAGTTAAAATATTAGAATTTTAAAATGATTGGAAGTCTATTTTCGGACAAGGGGAAAGCCCAAAACCTATAAAGAAAACCTATATACCTCCTGCGGTGGCTATATCTTCGGCAATATCCTTCTGGTTCTTGAGCGGAATACCTTAAACGATTCGTACTTCGATTTAGAATAATTCTGCATCAAAACCTGCCACCAAATTTTTGGATCGATTTTTTGTCAATTTTTCCAGGGGAACCCCTGTGAAAATGTGGAGAACCCATGGGTGGCCCATGGGGGACCTTGCGATTGCTATATCTTCGCCAATATCCGTCTGATCCTTAAACGGAATACCTTAAACGATTCGTACTTCGATTTAGAATAATTCTGCATCAAAACCTGCCACCAAATTTTTGGATCGATTTTTTGTCAATTTTTCCAACTCGCAATGGGAACCCCTGTGAAAATGTGGAGAACCCATAGGTGGGCCCATGGGGGTCCTTGCGATTGCTATATCTTCGCAAATATCCGTCTGATCCTTAAACGGAATACCTTAAACGATTTGTACTTTGATTTAGAATAATTCTGCATCAAAACCTGGCACAAAATTTTTGGATCGATTTTTTGTCAATTTTTCCAGGGGAACCCCTGTGAAAATGTGGAGAACCCATGGGTGGCCCCTGGGGGACCTTGCGATTGCTATATCTTCGCCAATATCCGTCTGATCCTTAAACGGAATACCTTAAACGATTCGTACTTCGATTTAGAATAATTCTGCATCAAAACCTGCCACCAATTTTTGGATCGATTTTTTGTCAATTTTTCCCTGTGAAAATGTGGAGAACCCATGGGTGGCCCATGGGGGACCTTGCGATTGCTATATCTTCGCCAATATCCGTCTGATCCTTAAACGGAATACCTTAAACGATTTGTACTTCGATTTAGACTAATTCTGCATCAAAACCTGCCACCAAATTTTTGGATCGATTTTTTGTCAATTTTTCCAGGGGAACCCCTGTGAAAATGTGGAGAACCCATGGGTGGCCCCTGGGGGACCTTGCGATTGCTATATCTTCGCCAATATCCGTCTGATCCTTAAACGGAATACCTTTAACGATTCGTACTTCGATTTAGAATAATTCTGCATCAAAACCTGCCACCAAATTTTTGGATCGATTTTTTGTCAATTTTTCCCTGTGAAAATGTGGAGAACCCATGGGTGGCCCATGGGGGACCTTGCGATTGCTATATCTTCGCCAATATCCGTCTGATCCTTAAACGGAATACCTTAAACGATTCGTACTTCGATTTAGAATAATTCTGCATCAAAACCTGCCACCAAATTTTTGGATCGATTTTTTGTCAATTTTTCCCTGTGAAAATGTGGAGAACCCATGGGTGGCCCATGGGGGACCTTGCGATTGCTATATCTTCGCCAATATCCGTCTGATCCTTAAACGGAATACCTTAAACGATTCGTACTTCGATTTAGAATAATTCTGCATCAAAACCTGCCACCAAATTTTTGGATCGATTTTTTGTCAATTTTTCCAGGGGAACCCCTGTGAAAATGTGGAGAACCCATGGGTGGCCCCTGGGGACCTTGCGATTGCTATATCTTCGCCAATATCCGTCTGATCCTTAAACGGAATACCTTAAACGATTCGTACTTCGATTTAGAATAATTCTGCATCAAAACCTGCCACCAAATTTTTGGATCGATTTTTTGTCAATTTTTCCAGGGGAACCCCTGTGAAAATGTGGAGAACCCATAGGTGGGCCCATGGGGGTCCTTGCGATTGCTATATCTTCGCCAATATCCGTCTGATCCTTAAACGGAATACCTTAAACGATTCGTACTTCTATTTAGAATAATTCTGCATCAAAACCTGGCACAAAATTTTTGGATCGATTTTTTGTCAATTTTTCCAGGGGAACCCCTGTGAAAATGTGGAGAACCCATGGGTGGCCCCTGGGGACCTTGCGATTGCTATATCTTCGCCAATATCCGTCTGATCCTTAAACGGAATACCTTAAACGATTCGTACTTCGATTTAGAATAATTCTGCATCAAAACCTGCCACCAAATTTTTGGATCGATTTTTTGTCAATTTTTCCAGGGGAACCCCTGTGAAAATGTGGAGAACCCATAGGTGGGCCCATGGGGGTCCTTGCGATTGCTATATCTTCGCCAATATCCGTCTGATCCTTAAACGGAATACCTTAAACGATTCGTACTTCGATTTAGAATAATTCTGCATCAAAACCTGGCACAAAATTTTTGGATCGATTTTTTGTCAATTTTTCCAGGGGAACCCCTGTGAAAATGTGGAGAACCCATGGGTGGCCCCTGGGGGACCTTGCGATTGCTATATCTTCGCCAATATCCGTCTGATCCTTAAACGGAATACCTTAAACGATTCGTACTTCGATTTAGAATAATTCTGCATCAAAACCTGGCACCAAATTTTTGGATCGATTTTTTGTCAATTTTTCGAGGGAAACCCCTGTGAAAATGTGGAGAACCCATAGGTGGGCCCATGGGGGACCTTGCGATTGCTATATCTTCGCCAATATCCGTCTGATCCTTAAACGGAATACCTTAAACAATTCGTACTTCGATTTAGAATAATTCTGCATAAAAACCTGCCACCAAATTTTTGGACCGATTTTTTGTTAATTTTTCCAGGAGAACTGGTTCTTGGTGTTTTCTACTCACTCTGTGCTTGTCAATGTGCATGGGCCGCAAATTAGGGTCGAAGAGCAGACGCTGGGGCTCGAGATTCACCGGGGACTGGCGGCGACCCTTGTTGCAGAGTGACCACTCCGGATTGATGAGGCCCCAGAAGGCGGGTCCTGGAAATAGAGAGAGGAAACAGAGAAAGAGGTTTATTAGAAAAGCGGGTTAAGGGGTATTCCAAATCGATGCCAGAAAGGGTGCCAAAAAGATTTATGAACTGTTTCCAAAGTTTCCGCTTGCGGCGTTGGGTGTGGGGTGTGGGGTGTGAGGTGCGGGGTGGTTGCTGCAAAAACTTGCCACAAATTGCATAATGGCCAGAAGGGCGAGGGGTCAGAAGGGCTAGGACCAGAGCCGTTGCAATATTTGTCTGGGCATCTGCATAGGTGTTGGCCTGCGTTGGTTTAGTTTTTTGGTTTTGTGTCTGTTTGATTCTAGCCACATGACCCTCTCCCCCCTTCATGCCGCCTCCCTTTCCCTTGAATGCTTTAATTTCGTGCGGCTGAAGCCCTCCGCCTCCTGCCGGCCCTCTTTTTCTGGTTGTCCTGGGCCAACAGTAAAATTGCAGGTTTATCTTTGCTTCTGCCTGTCGTTGGCTGTGTCTGCTGGCTCTCCGCCGCACCGCACCGCGCTCCTGCTCCGGCCCGGCTTTAGCTTTTGGCCAACTTTATCTGGCCTGGCAGCTTAATTTATGGCAATATGAAATCAAGCTGAGCTGCCCCCAAAAACAATAGGCAATGTTTCTTATGGCCGGTTGCAGGCTGGAAGGCTGAAAGGCTGGAAGGCTGTTCCCTTTTGCCAGTTTGTTGTCATTTTAGTTGAATTGTTATGGCCAAGTTGGCTCTTCAAACTGTTTCAGTTCCATTGTTTTGTTTGGCTTCACTCCATTTCATTTAATCTGGGCTCTGGTATCTGTATCTGTCTGTAGCGTTGCTTTTTTCTGATGCTTCTGGGAGGTGATGCTTTCGAAAGTTTTGGGCTTATTTCATTACTTGATTGCTTAATTAATTTGTTCCGCTTCGAGTGCTAATTAGTTACTCGGATAGTTTTGATGGCATTTCTTGCTTTATTAATTGCCTATCTAGAGCCCTTGAGTCCTCCCCTCCCCTCCCCCTGTTGATCACCCCACCTGGGCGAGGGCTAAAGCCCCATTATTCAAAACTCTTGTGGCCGCTCCGTCAGTCGCTTCGTAATCCCATTTATGGCGCCACCCCCTCGGAGGCTATAAAAATGGCTCGGCTGCAGTCGCATTGCGTATACGAGGCGTGGCACCGAGGGCCTGGGGCTGGGCGGGGAGGGGAGGGGCGTGGCTAGTGGAGGAATGTCTGGGAATCAACACGTTCGCTGCTTTGGCCGCAATCAGGAGCTTCAATCAGAGATATGCCACGTACTCGCGTTTAAGCGATTGTTGACCTCAACGACGCCATCGCATTAGCCGAAAAAACACGTTAAAAGGAAAGCTGAAGGAGAAGCGGATAAAAATAAAGGATGCAGAAGTCGGCAGACGCGGCGGCGGGAGAGGGAAAATAATCCTGAAAGTGGGAAGACGCTGGCTGGGAAGCAGCAGATGAGCCAGCAGGGACGAGACCGTGAATGGGAAAAGCAATTAGCGGCAGGTGCAGTACCTTACAGGTCCCTCCGTCAGAACTCTCTCAGTTTTTACTTTTTAGTTATTTTGAAGTCTTGATTGGGACTTGAATTTATCGCAAGGCACTCTCGTGTCACGCGGCCATCTCCGCAGCGAAGAGTGGGAGCTCCGGAGGGCAGCAGGTCCTCCTCCAGATATCCGGATCCGGGCGCGGATGTTGCAGCATCGAGTCTATTAAATTGCGGTTGCCTTCCGCGCGGAGTCGAGTCAATGAGGCAATTGCGAAACGATTTTAGCAGCCATTAACAACATTAGTGGCTTGGCTGGCTGAGTCGTAGGATCTCGGGGGGATGCAGTGTGGCTGTGGGGGCTGTGGGTGGCTTAGAGTAGCGGTGCAGCACGCTTCGCTGGATTCCGCTTGGGCCGCCTTTATTTGGCTCTTTGGCAGTGCAAATCACGTTAAACAAGAGCACGTTGCAGTGGAAAAGAAACACTGCAGCTCCAGCTGGGGCTAAGGATACCGAGCCAAGGACTGGTAGTCCTGGCAGAGTCCTCGCAGCTTCGCAGCTTCCGGCATGCAGGAATGCTTATGCAAATTTATTTATGCCAAAGGAGACACACAGTTCCTCGCCGCGTCTCGGATTTCGGTTGCAATTTGTTTACAACACGTGTTACAGGACACTCCTGGGACGAGTGGCTGCACTGGGCGAAAATCAGCAGCTACTCTGACCCGCATTCGGTCATTAGCTGACTATATTTTTGGGTTGGTATTCGTCGAATAAATTAATTGCGCTGAATAAGCCCTTCTTTCTATTCTTGGGGCATTACCTTCTGCCGTGGAATTCACGTTTTCTTCCCCAAAATAGACGCGTCTATTTTTGTTTTTCCCGAGAATTCCCCGTTCGCCGAAATCCAATTCAAAATTCAAAGCACTCGGACTTATTTATGCATTTGTCTTGTGCAAATGGCGCCGCCGCTGTCGCTCTAATAAGATTAAGAAGGATGCTCCAGAGGAGCCGGGCCGAGGGCAGGTCTCAGCAGGGAGACACGGTGATGGCGGGAGAAAGCATCCTGGAGGCTGGGAGATGGGAGCTGCGAGCTGGAACGCTTATCGGCTGCCTGCTGTCCTGTCTGGACATAATCTCCGAAGACCTTTGCCCCGATTCCTCCGCCACTAGTGACACATGGTAAACTGTTCTCCATTTCAGGTCCGCCATTCTCTCTGCGGCGCTTTCTCTGCCGGAATTTCTCCGCCCAAGTCGCCAAGGACTCTCTCCTTTCCGTCTGCAGCGCTGCTTATCACGTTTCAGCGCCAGACAATGGCGAAAAAAGGAAAGTTGTCAGGCTTTCTGCCTCTCTCGCCATCCCTGCCACTCGGCCACCCCGCCCCTCGAACACTTTGTCCGCCCCTCCATTTGACAGCTGCAAATCGGCTTCGTTTCTGCTTTCCGCTCCTCTCCCGGCACTTCCCTCCCGGCAGCCACCCCTCCGGGCTTTCACCTTTCCATGCACTCCACGCGTGCAACTCCAGTCGCTGGGAAAATCGTTTTACGCCGGCAACAAAAATGCACGGCCATGGCCAGGTGGGAAGCCGTCTGAGCTCCACAGCCCTTGCCCCAGACCCATGCCACTCTGCCACTTTCACATACAACTTTGTTGCTTTAGCGACGCGTGCTGCTCGTTGGCTGAAAATTGTACTTTCCGCTTCCGTCCGTGGTTATTGTTGAGCTTTGATTAAAATTTACTTTGTTGTTGGTATTTATGAAACTTAAGCGGGGCGGGGGGATGGGGGCGGTGCGAGCCCCGAAAAATCCGAAAAGGCAAAGGACTCACCTGAGATGCCATCGTATGTCCACCAATCCTCCCAGCTGACGGCGAGCAGAACTGCAACGAGAAAAGCGGAGAAGGGGGCAGTGAGTGGAAAATATTTGCAAACAAAGATGCGATTGCGTCGGTTCGGGGAAAACAGAAAAAGAGGCTTACGTGTTATATGAGGGCATTAACATTAAACTCACTTAAAATACTTGTACTCGTTCGGTAATTAACATGCACACGCATTTGTGTGCTGAACTTTAAACTATTAAATTGCATTTCATTATGTGAATGGCGACTAGTGGCGCTTTTAATCCGCCTTCCTTTAAATGTGGCGGTTTTAATCAGTTTTTTGTGCGGCTGGCTCCATAATGGAATATATATTTTGTCGGCCCGTAAGCCTAATTTCATATTTCATTCATCGTTTCACAATCAATGACACCATCCCGGTCCTAATGGGGCAAATGGGTTGAATGTCTACACAGAAAACTATGCATATTCTGGCAGCATTTCTAACCCTAAGCCCCAGGACCCAGAACCCAGATCCCAGGCCCTGGCCCCAAGCCCCAGCCCTTTGGGTCCTGCACTTTGTTAAAATGATTTTTGCTTACTTGCCTTTTAATTTTTTCGTGTCCGAGTCGGTTTTTCCTTTTTTTTCGTTGGCTCGTTTTTGTTTTTCAGTTCGCTGTTCTGTTCTGTTTTTTTTCCTCTTCGCTCACCCCGTAAATTCACTTCCGTCACTTGTTAACTTTAACATTCATCGACACTTTTTGCCTTTTGGCCTTTCCACCGCCCACCCTACACCCAACACCCATCACCCAGTACCCTTCAACCTCACAGCCCACAGCCCACAGCCCTGTTGCCGCCTTTTTTCTGGCTTGGAGGGGAATGCAGCTAAAACACTTTGTTATTTTGACAGCCGACAAAAAAGCGGGCCAATGCCTTTTGGCGAGAACCTGCACTCCTTCTTTCCTTCCGCGACTCGAATCAAAGTCAAGAAATGTTGAGTCATTAAAACGCGTTCCAGCCCCGCCGAATCCTTTGGCCTTTGGTCCCCAGTACCCATTCCGCAGTCTCCAGCCCCCAGTCCTTTGGTCCTTCAAGCTTAGAGTCCCCGCCAAGTGCAGTGCGAAATGCAGTGCAGTTTCCGGCAAACGGCAAACAGCAAAAACCACAACGCACCGCAGTTTCGCTTCACTTGTAGTGACTTTGCTTCAGTCGAGGGCTGCCATGAATTTCATAAATATTTAAATTAAAAATTGACACTAGCTAACAAGTAAAAAGTCCCCAACAACCCGTGCGCAACGCGAGGTACTCTGCTACTTTCCCCCATTTTCAAATATTTTCCTAAACACAACGATTCAGGACAAAAACCTTGAAAAGTGCGAGTAAAAAGCGGTGAAAAGGAAGGAACTGGCAGCCAGGCAGCCCGGCAGCCATCAAGGAGCGAGAAATAACAACAATAATAATAATAATAATAACGCAAAGTCATGGGCAATGATTGAAATTAATGGATTTGTAAATGCTCAGCGTCATTCCCGGCTCTTAACCCTTTGCCGGGACAAGGGGTGACAGATGGGCAGGGCCGGCAGGACGAGCTGGGTGGGCGAGTTGGACTCCGCTTGGGATGTTGTCGAAGCATTATCCCTGTGGCTCAATCCAGACCACTTGATGTTTAATTTCATTTCGCGTTTTAGCCAAATGCCAAAACCTCCCTTTCCACATTCAAAACTATATCAAAATGCGCATTAAATATTAATTTTTCCATAAAATCCAAAGAGCTTTCTCTCTTTATTTCCCTTTAAAACATTACACATTATTTCCATTTATTTCGCCGCTTCTGCCTCTCACCGCTTTGGTTTTTGTTCATTGAATTCTATTTATAAATTTGCACCTGACTGCACGACCCCTCTGCCCCACCGCCACTCTGCCACTCCCCTGCCTAGGTCACCTGAACTCTCTTGTTCTTCTTCGCTCGCAATCATAAAAGGCAACAAAATGTTGAACAAATTTTTATGGCTGCACAAAGCAACAGAGTGACAAAGAAGGCGAGAGGGCAGGGCGAAAAGTCAGCCATCCGACATGCACTGAGAGAAAAATGATGGAAATTGTGATCTCAGTCCAAGCGACGGCCCTGAGAGCGCCCCAATCTGGGGCACAGACCGAGGACACAGACCAGAGCATTTCTGTCAGTGCATCCGATACCATAGCAGCACAGCCGCTTGTTCTTGCCCCGCCCTCGGCTCCCCGCCTGCGGTCGTCGCTTTTGTGGCTGCCCCAAATCCCTCCTCCGCCAGCCGCCCCGCTATTTCTCTCAGTGTTCGGGGCAACTGTCGCGCCTTTCAGTATTAATTACAAATGAAATTTTCTTATCATTTCTGTTGCCGTTGACAACTTTCTGTCTGCCGGCCCAGACCCGTCTGGGTCATTTCCACTCCCCCGGGAGTCCTGGGATTCCAGTGAGTCCTGCTAGGTCCTGCCAGTCCTGCCAACTTTGCCTGGACCTCTACTTTAGGGCCAATAAGCAAAAATAGTTGCTGCTAATTGTTGTTTGCCGTTTATGGTTATGGCCAATGCGTGCTAATTGTCGTCCTGCCATCGTCCTTCGCGTCCTTTCTTCGGGCTTTTCAATTTCGATGGCGAGTTTTATTTTTTCGCCGACTGTCGGGGGAAGGGGAAGGGGCGGCAATTTATGGCAGCACTTTGGTTCGGCTCAATTTAATTTGGCTCGCATACTCTAAGTTCTGGTCCCGGAGCGGGGATCCTTGCCCTTGTGATCTTGGCCAGGTCAGGATTTCATTGCCTACTTATCGGGGCAAGCACTCAAGCCCTCAAGTTGGGGATAGGGACTCCACTTGAGGGCTATGATTAGGTCCTCCCATCCAGCCCCCCGGATCGGGAGAGGACCAAACACCCCGAAAATTGGTGCAGCGACTTGGGAAAACCTCCGGCTGTCAGCCAGAGTATCAGAGTGTTCGATCCTTCGGGGAATCCCCAATTTGCGGAGTTTTTTCCCTCGTTTGCTTTCTCCTTTCTCTCTGCTCGCCTGCCATTTGCTATTTGACTATTTTGTTGTTTCTTGTTTGCTATTTGTTTGCTGTCGTCGTCCTAGTCGTCGTCCTAGTCGTCCTAGTCCTAGTCGTCGCCGTCGCTTGTCTATTTAAAAGGCACGTAAACATGGCCGACTTCTGGCGCGCCCAAAACAACAACAACAATGAAAACAAAAGCAAAACATCAGTGAAATCAAAAGGACTTTCTGGCAGGACTGGGAGGGACTGGCAGGACAGAAGGGGGCTAAAGGATTGACGTGCGCATTTTAGTCACGCTGTCGCGGGCTTTTGCCTTTTTGCCATTTTAGCTGATTGTTTTTGTTGTGTAGTCGGAAGTACATATGTGCCACATACACATATATATATATATAGGCACCATGTGTGAGGGACACCAGGACATCGGCGGATTTGCCTGGCGGGTAACTTAATATTTTGTTGATGTTTGCCCAACTTGATTATATCTATCACTATCATAATACAGCTACACCCCGTCCTGGCAGTCCTTTGACGACCTGCAGCACCGCCATATGCAAATTTTCCAGAAGCCCCAGCAGACAAGCCCTTCTCACAGCACAGATTGCCCAGAAACGATATGGGCCCCAAACTGAATAATGTGTGGAGTGTGTGGGGGAGTGGATTTATTATAATGTGTGGGGTCGGGGACTTAATGAAACTGACAATGTAAACACGGGCTTTCGGCTGGATGATCTCCGGATGGTTCTCTGAGGTGAGACATGGGCTTTGTTCGGCCAGAACCCGATCTCCGCCGAAATAAATAATTAATGACGTAATCGCCTATGGTAATCCAATAGCGCAGGAGACTTCTGGAGAGGAGGGCCTGGATAGTCAAACAGAAAACCATTTTCCTTTAATAGACTTTGTTCGGAGTCCACCAGCCACTGCTAATTCATTTGATTTTTATTGGACCTGGCCAAGGGAGGGAGGAGTGGGCTTGGAGCGGGGCCAGAGTAATATGCAAATAGCCCAAGGCGTGTTCATTGAAATCGGAGGAGGGGGGAAGACCAGGGGGAGGTGCCAGATCTAAGGAACATGGCGGGGTTCCGTTTTAAAAGCGCAAGCAAGTGAAAGCTTTCAATCAATGTCGCTCGCTCGTCAGCCACCCACACCCCTGGCTCCCCCTCCCTGTGGCGCCCCTGAATACAGCTGCCAGCCCAGCCCCCCTTTGGCTTACACGCCTCTGTTTTTGTGGCCAGCTTCGGCTTTTAATTTCTATCGCTACGATTTCATTTTTTAGTTCCGTTCGGTTTGGTTTGGCTTGGCCTGGTTCGAGTAACCATTTCCATTTGCCCCCCACTCCCAAGCACACACCACCTCCACCCCCCTGGCGACGCCCCCTTTTACCCTTCCATGGAGCCACACCTCGTTCTTTGATTTTTATTAAGTTTTGTCGACTCGGTTTCTGCTTTCGTGTGTCAGATTGTCCGTTGTCCGCTGTCCCCTGTCCGCAAGTCCGCTTTTCCGTATCCTGTCCGCGGCCACGCCCTGCCCAGCCACTCCCTTGCCCTTCGCTCGGCTAATGGTAAATGCCATTTCAATTACGTACACAGTACTAAAATTTTATGCGGCCAGTCAACGTGGCTTCTTCCCGAGCTCGTCCTTCGTCCTTCGTCTTTGGTCTTTGGTCGATTTTGTTTTTGCTTTTGCTTTGTCGATTTCCATTTGCGCTTTAAGTGCATTTGCACAATCAACAAACAGGGCCAGGAGGTGGGGCCACTGGCCGGCCGGCAGCAGGGAGGAGGGGAGGACATGTATAGGATATGGCATGCGGGTGTGGCCATAATCAAACATCAATCCGACGCTACGAGGGCCCCTCTGCATCTCTTCGGTTCTGTTTGAACAGAAAAATAGAGGAAACTGAGCCTCATGATATGGTAGACTGTGATGATGGTATCTGATAGGGATACCTGGGTCTGGATCTCTGTTACTTGTTGCGAAGGCGGTTCGATCCTGGCAGGTATTTCACAGAACCAGATCTGAGTCCAGGTAGCACACATACAGAGC